TACTGTCACCAAACTGATAGGCTTGCTATGGGTATTTCTTTATGAGCATTATTAGCTGAAGCGTTTATGAGATATGTCGAAAATCTAGCTCAAGCCCTAATAGAAAATATTTGCTTATATAAGAGATATGTGGATGACATCTTAGTTATCTGTGATAATACAGAGGGTCCAATTCGTTTATGGAGCAAACTTGACAATCTACAAGGCCATATTAGTGTTTCATATGAAGAATAAAGGAACAAACAACTTCCTCTCTTAGGTATACATTATATATCTACTGAATTAATTCATTTTAAATGAAGCATAATTTCTACAGAATTCAGTTCAATAAGATTGTAATTAGACCACATATAAATTATCGCCAAACTGACTGAATACTTTCATCAAGTAAATTAACAATGAAGATAGATAAAAGTTAGTTAAAGTGAAAATGAATGAACGAATATTGTGATCTTCGAATGACATACAAAAGTTTTCAAATAAGTACTATATAATACGTCAAGTTCTTCATAAACAACTCTGTTACTTCAATATCTTCTAGGAGGATTTAGGAATACAATATTGAAATCAGACGAAATACTCGATATGTTAGCGAATATTACAATAATTAAATGTGAACCTGTTGAGATCTAAATGATATCTAAGATAAGTTTCAGAGTCTTTGTAAGATTTTAGGGACTTTGAAAATGAATTGACAATACCACTATGACTCAGTGAAAACAGGACATAGAATATACACATTTTAAGGAAACCACATTTCTATGAAAGAATATTGATAGCTGAAGACCTTTCTTATTTGATAATTATCAAGTAAGAAAGTCATTATTTGTTTTTCTACCCTACATCTATCTCAAACATCACCAAGAACAACTATGTTTACTTGTCCGAATAATAAACTGTCATAATGTTTTAAGGAAAAGAATCAAATGCACAACTCCATAAATCAGTTATGTTTATTCTTTTTAACACTAAATCTTTGGTGATTTGATTACCTGAACACTGTAGTTATTTAAAACAAGACTGATATGTCAATTGTGTGACTTCAGCTAAATGCTCATTACTACTATCTGCTACTTAATGAAACGGAACGAGATTGTGATACAGGCCCAAGAAGTAAGACAAAAATGTAGAAGGAGACTGATTTATCCACCAATCACTGATTAAATTACATGTACCATCGTAATCATAAATTACATTTCCCTTTAAATGCAGATACATCCAGCTGACGAGTCCCAAATAGGGCGAAACGCGCGTCCTGGATTCCACTGCTAGCCACTATCCATCTTCGCCTATCACTTTAAATGTTTGGTCATTAAATAAATTGGAATGAATTTAACTAGCTGTTAATTAATAATTTAATGCGGGTATATAATTCGCGCAATCAATAAACAAATAGTCAATCTGTCGATTCAACCAGATCACATCTCAACAGAACTTTCATGCATATATGGTTGAATATTTTCACAATAGTTTGACACTGAATGTGTTGGAAACACTCTATGGGAAATCGTATTTGTAAAACTCTCACTGATTAAAATTAGAAAGAACTACTGTAGTGTGTGCTATTATATCGACATAAGTAGTATATAACGCTAGTCAAGAATAGAATGTCTGGCAGCAGAAGGTCAAGAAGATCGAAGAGCAAAGAACGGAAACAGAAAGCAATTGGTATGAAAATGCATGAACAATGAATTCGGAGACGATTGATTGATATTTGAAAAAGGAACAGTCAAGTCTGAGACAATTGATTGACATTCTTACTGTATGGTTCTCAGATTTTACTAACATGTTCTGTAATGTATAAAAGTACAATCAATTGTCCTCACTTGTGTTCTTGTTCACTACGCTCCTACTATTGTGTTGGCAGTTCAAATAAATAGCGTTCCCGCTCTTCTTTCTTGGTCTTCCCCCATCTTCGGCTGCCAGACATTACGTTCTTTAACTCGCGTCATATACTACTTATATCAATATAAGCAGCACACACCACAAATATAATAAGATGGTTAAAATGTTTTTGTTATAATAATTAAAGGTCATAGAGGGGTAGAAATAAATAAGGTGATATGATGAGCATTTACGAATAAAATAATGAGAATATAAGACATAAGTAAAAGGGGGAATGCAATAATAATAATAATGTACTTGATACCATGGGAACAAGACTGATTACAGATATTTACAGATGATTATTAATGGTAGCTAATCGCTACTTGTAAACATCTTGAACATATTTTTTTTCATTTTCACAAATTAAGTGCCTATAAAATTGGAATTTGTTGTAATGTTTCATATTACTTTCTGACAATTTACTACTTCAATCAAATATATGGTTTTGTATAAAGCATGTATTATTCTTATGTTAGTGCATGAGATGGTGGAGAAGATTTGTAGCTCAGGTGGATGATTTTGGTGGAGTTTTGTTCTCTGAGCTGGATGGTTTGGTCATGGAGCTTTCATCGTTCTTTTGAACGATGTTAGTGCATGTTTGGTGAATAAAAAAATTATAAGTTTTCTGTCTAACTGGAAAGAAATATATTTATTTATTCAGTCTGTAATTCAGTAGTGGTTAATAATCCATCAAAGGAAACATTCTATTTCTTTAGTCTAAAAGCAGCGAATAACTCATCTGATTTGATATGATTCATGACATTATCCATACACAGTTATATAATATACCCTTGTGGGCCAGGGTAATTTTACATTGGTTTTCAGGAGAACCAGACACCATCCGGACTTTCACGTGACAACCCAAACAGTACACCTCAACCCCGTTTAGCAGGGGAACCAGACACCGTATAGGCTTTAACGCTACAATCTGAATAGTACAGCTCAATCCTGTGGCGCAGCCACACAGGTACCAAGCACCTTGGTGGACCAATTATCCATACATACACTGTTGTAAATCCATTCCTAACAAAACTTGTCTCATTTTATGGTTAAATACAATTTAATGAAAACAGATTATAATAAGAAGAATAAAAATAACCAAATCTCGTAAATACTACATATATCTGGCGTTGTTTTAGTTTTAATTTAATGACTGGTCAAATTGGAAAGTACTTGTGATTTGCTTAGTGACAAAATATAACACTACTTTAAAGAAGTAACTACTATAATTAATCCACAGTCTACCGACTTTCGATTCCAATATATTTTATATAAAGAATTCTGTAACCATATTTTTATTTTTTAAAATTAAATAAAATTCCGTAAACCTTATAATAACGATTCATGATAAAGTTTTATGTTTAACTTATGTAATCTTCCCTGTAATCAGACTAATTTAATGATTTTATGAACCTACTAGTTTACTTAGAATGCAGTTGAAAAAGCCTTTTTAAATAGAGTTTGAAACGTTTCACTTTCTTCCATTACATGATACCATGACTCTTTGTATGTACTGAATGGTTCAAATTTCGAAGAAGTACTCAAGTCCAGGCTATAATACATAAGGTATTGACTATTTTTTAACCATATATATAGGTTGTGTATCAAGATAACCAGCGATAATGGAAAAGGTTTAATGTTTTTCATTCGTAGTAATGGTAACTGTTGAATTTGGTCCTATATAGGACTTATCAGTTGAACGTGCCAGAGAGCGGTTTGTAAGCAGTATGTAATTTGACGTTATTTACTAAATAAAGGGTCAGTAATCTAGTTAGAGGTCATTTTTTATCACTGCATTGACTGTGTGTTTTAAATTTCAGACGTTACAGACTCAACATTGATTTCCTTTAGTTATTGTTATATCATAACCCTTATGTTTTACACAGTAATGTGATTATATCGAAAGATTTTGTCAACACAAACCACCGGAGATTGTTCCATTACTATTCCGTTTGTAAAGCCTTATACAAACCGTCTCCTACTCAAACTGGTGTAGTGAACAGAACACAGGTTAAAACAACCGCATTACTTTTGGCACAAAATTACAGAGCTACCTGGTAAAATAGAAAAAGCATAATCTAATACTTAATTTGCAAAATGACCATTAATTGTCTCAGACCTCATTGTTCCTGTAATTCCACACCAATTACTTTCTATTCCCGTTCTTCAGTTTTTGATCTCAATCTTCTGCTGCCCGACATCATATTCCTGAATCGCATTATATACTACTTATGTCAATATAAGTAGCACACACTACACTAGTACCACAGTTAGTAACATTATCGCCATAATGACAGGGGCGATACATTATAATAGTGAAATTCATGCTTTAACACAATCTACCATTTTTAGAAAAAAAAACAGTTGACAAATGATCCTATTTCAGCTAAACTTTTAGAATAATTAATATGCATTATTGTGGGTAGCTGGCCTTTGGAAGATAATGTAATCTTTCTAAAAGCTTGAGACAGATCACTTCACACAGGACCATAGTTCAATGGTGCATTTATTCATTAGATATATGACATGATAAAATAACCATTGAATACATAGAGAAAACTGATTACTCACATTACGAACACATCAGCAATTATACTTTTTAAGTCACTGCTTCAGTCGTTGCTTGGTAACATATTTGACCTACATTCCATGTCAATCTGTTATCAAAAAAGAAATCAAATCTGTTCATTGTCCTCACAACTGAATAAGTGATCAATCGAATCATCCATTAAATTTCCATCCCTCTTCCTTAGTCTATTCTTCAAGTAACATTCCTTTAAACGGGCATTAATCAATCAATACTATGATATGGTGGGTGCTCAAAATTTACTAATCTGTTACACCACTTATTGATGATTTCTGCTTGTTCTCTTTTATCCAAACAACTGTAATCGTTTCTTGAATAAACTACTCCTTAAAATAATAACCAATATCTAGGAAATGGATAGATTGTGAAGAACGAAGTTGATCTTGTTTGAACTATATCTTTAAAATTAATTTGACTTGATATCTTGTTCACCTAACTGATATTATAAGATTAAGTAGTCTATAAAGCAGTATAAAATTTTCATTTGATGCAAAATATCTTCATTTTACTTTATCAATCTTTCCAGAATCATTAACAGCATCAACAAGGCATTTCGATGGCCAATGTTGATATGACCTGGCCAACAACAATAGTTACTGTATCTGGTGAAAAAACAGTATTTTGTCAACGTAGTAATAGTATAACAGAGAAATCATCTAATGACAATATACAAAAAACAATCAATTCATCTATTCAACATGATATTGAAAACTTAAACTTAAATCATTTGAATGAAGATGAACGTCAAAAGGTTTTATGTGTAGTAAAAAAAGACTTTGAAGTACGTGCTAAAGAACGAGAAAGATTGAAGTAAGCATTTATTTAATAATTTTTTATCTCTTATTATTTGTCAGTTACTAACAATATACAGATCGATATAAATACGAACTGATCCATAATTTGAAACAACAAAGTATCAGAGAGTTTAAGCAATAGGGATTATCACAATATGAATATTAAGTTAGTCAAATTAATAAAATCAATAATAAGGTGTAATCACAATTGATTGATCACTGAATGGTGATCACTGTCATGTGTATCAAGTCCCTCCTAGTGCACCAGTTCCCTTAAGATTACAAGTACACCTTGCTGACGAGTGCCGAGTAGCACAAAACCCGGGTCCAGAGTTTCCTGTTGACTACCTCCAACCACCATCTTATCTCAATAATAAAGTGTAAATAATCAAAATAAATAAACAAAATCGATTAAAAATTTTCATTGAATAATTGAATTTTCAAGATTTCAAAAAAGACTTTTATTAAAATCGAAAACCGATCTAAGTTAGACAATGGTTGAAAGTTTAGAAGCATTGGATGGCGGTTCATCCTTGTATGGAACTCCTTAGTGGTGCATATTCACGACTCTGGGTTCAAGAATTGAACTCAAAACCTTCGGTCTTGTTAGCAAACGCCTAAATCAGAATTTATAGTATACATGTCTAACTCCAACCAATTCACGATACTGCATAACCCTCTTCCATTGTCTTTTATGGTTGTCTAGTGTAAATTGGCTCGCAATCTGAATAAGACTCAACAATTTCCCCAACCCCTTACTGACAGTTAACAATTTTATCTTGAATTCACATGCTATAACCTTTAACTTGGTCACTTTTTGAATTATTAATTTGGTTACACAATTGTAGAACTTAAAGAGAATTTATTAAAAAGAATATTCTCCATTCATAGATGTGTTCTAATTTTAGTTCGTCAGTAAGGTTTACCTTCGTTATCGTGACATTTACTCTGGTAGAGTGTAATACAGAGTAAATTTACAATACTGATAGGATCATTTAGATTTACTGACACTTTATGATGATTTATTGGAAATAGTCGGAACGTCCGGGTATCTAGTGACTTGTGTTAGCCAAGTGTGATTGTGTAACAAGTTATATAGAACTGCTTACTTCAAAAGCTATAGCTCCGCTAGTCTGGTTGTAAAAGCCCCATTAATATAAACAAACCTTCTCTATATTGGTAAAATTTACACTCTTTAGGCTGAGTATCTTCATTGTCTCTCTGAGTACAACAGCGAATTGATATTCGCAAGACCAGAGAAAAGATATTATTATCATTTTAAATCAATGCATTTGGTACATTTGCAACATTCCATTCTTTTTGCTTAAATTACTTCCATACAAGGAATTAAATAATGATACAAAAACATGATGCGTAAAGAAGATAGATAATCACTTTGTGACACCGTACCTTGAATTAATAGGTACTTGTATAGTATTAGCTAATGCCAAAGTACTTGACTTCAAACAGTCGTAGGCTCAAACATCAGTGCAGGTACTCAAATATTTGTCTCGTATAATGACGTGACACAATGCCTCATTTCTGCAAGGTGCTTATTTCTTAACAAACTCTTATTCTTTGAAGATTCGACATCTATAAAAATCTATCTAAAAACGGCACCAGCCTATCAAATCTACAAAGGTTTATAAAATGACATGATCATGGTACTAAGAATTGCAATTAATACTCCATTTCTTGATGTTTCTTTTACTGGTCCAATAATATGCTTTCTATTGGGCTTTGGAATCGCATTTTGATTGATAGTAGAGGGGTACGGATGACAGAATTAAGGAGTTAAATCGAACACATTTACCATACATTTCATGATGCTCTCGTTCAACAATTTATAAACTGATGACTTAACTTTCAGAATTACATTATGTTTACCTTAAGAATTATTACCAACTATCAGATGGATAGTCTATCTCAGATACATCAACCTAAACTCGGTAAATTTATAATATTGACTGTTTATTGATTATAGAACATTATGAAAAGTTCTTAATTTTACTACATTTCTATTTCATTAATTTCTTTTATATACTTTTTAAAAAAATATATTAACTTAGCCGATTTCGTTCAAGTATTTTAAGACGAGATAGAGAATTGGCTGTTAAAAGTTTAACATCAACTACTGAAAGTACATCTTGTTTATTATGTGGACGTGCATTTATACCTTTGATTAATCCTAAACATATATGTTTCAATTGTCAACGTGAAATTTGCCGAAATTGTTCAGAATCTATGAATAAATACGATGAATTCTTATGTAGAATGTGTTTAAAAGAGAAGTAAGTTACTTTTTCAAAAGTAGTCTAGTCTATATATATTTTTATATATTCTGTGATAATAATGACAGATGTTGTCGGTCAGCCAGCTACAATGTAGGACCAGGCACATATATGCATATATTTTGATAAACTGTGAGATTGCTTTAAAAAAAGGAAAGTTTATATATCCTAGTTTAAAAACTGTTCTCTTCTTTAGTATTCAAATTTACGATAATCAATAGGATTCAACAAATTTGATAAAAAGAAGACCAGTTGTATATTACTTACGCCTGTTACTCCTAGTGGAGGAGCATAGGTTGCCTACCAGCACTCTCCATCCAAACCCTGTCTTGGGCAATCCTTCCCAGCTCTTTCCAGTTGTTATTCATCCTTTTTATATCTGATTCTATTTCCCGACGTAATATGTTCTTTGGTTATCCTCTTTTCCGCTTCCCTTCAGGATTCCAAGTAAGGGCTTGCCTCATGATGCAGTCTGATGATTTGCGTAATGTATATCCTATCCATTTCCATAATCTTTTCCTAATTTCCTCTTCAGCCGGAAGCTGATTTGTTCTCTCCCACAGAAGGCTGTTGCTGATGGTATCCGGTGAACGGATGTTGAGTATCTTGCGTAGATACCTATTCATAAATACTTGTACCTTCTTGATGATGGTTGTTGTAGCTCTCCATGTTTCAACTCCCTACAGAGAAATGTTTTGATGTTCGTATTGAAGATTCTGACTCTGATATTAGTTGGAAGTTGTTTCGAGTTCCATATGTTCTTCAATTGTAGGAATGCGGCCCTTACTTTGCCAATCCTCGCCTTTACGCTAACCAGTGGTATGTAACTGTACCATAATATCATTCAGTATGTTTGACAATTGACAATATTAGTACCCCCTTTATTATGATGTTATCAACTAGAGTTATTTTAGAACACACACAAAAACCAAATACATTACATTAACCGTATTAAAGTTTTAATAAATTAAACTTATGCGAAACTTAAGAAATATCGAAATCTTTTCAGTTTTTAAGAAATTTAGTTTGTGAACAAAGAATATTTGTCAAATGAGCATTGAAAACTCAAACTTACTTTCTAAACTAAATAATTTTACTCTAGTTGGATAACTGGAGATGTCAAAGAACTTCTGTTTTAACGATTATATCAGTATAACAATTTTCAATAAAGATTAATTCAACTCCTAAACATAATAATCCATCACTTGGTTGATTAATCTAACTGAATACCTAATTTGAAAAGTTACAAACATTCTCATATTGGTCATCATTAATTTTATACCGGTAGTGTTTTGATGGAACTTTGCACGTGCAACTATATTTTGGACTTTGATTTTCACAAGGCTTAGGCATATTTCAAAGGTGATAGACTACCAAACTGACTCTCGACCCATGATCACTTTCAATGCACTGGACTAACAGACATGGTTACTATCATCATCATTACAGTGTAAGAAAACAGAAGGAAAGGTCATTTAGCATGGAACTTGGAAACTTTTTAAAAAGTATTAAGTGTACTATAAAAGTAAGAACCCTCAATCATTCATCATCTCAACAATGTACTTGATATTAAGTCGCTTAGACCAGTGGTCACCTTGAAACTTGACTGAGAGAATTCAGTCAGCCATTAAAAAGACAATGATGAATACTCAACAATTAATCAATTATAAAAACGGTTTTTATTATTCAATGATCCATGGAACCTTTTTCAAATGGTTACTATGTGATTTTGGAATATGCACTAAAATTTACCTGCTACATGATATTGGTAAAAATTCGTTTTTATCAGCCAACTTGAATTCATTCGTTTTTAATTAAACCGTTTTTAAAAGTGAGTAATTATTTCACATAATTTTTGAAATGTTTTTTGTCCAGTAGTTAAAGTTTACAAATTCTTCTAGCAACAATTTTTCTTTCGTTTCAACCGGTTTCATAACTAAGTTTGGCTAGTTACCAAAACGTTGCAACGGCGATTTCATGCACTTATGTCCGTAAAAACTTCAAACCCTCTTTAGCCACTAACATAAACACACTAAATGTAATCTATTCATTGTCAGGTTGACGAGGTTCAGCTATTAAAATGTTTTCGTTCTATTATGATAGGAAATGTCTTCTTGATGTATGCTCAGAAGGAACATTTATAGTCAGGTATATAAAAATACACCATAGAAGCAACACGTTTATAAAGACATTAATTTAGAACTATGCATTTTCATTTAAATTTGTTGTATAACACATATTAATGAGATTATGGTTAAAACAGTGTATCTAAGTTTTAGACAATAAGCAACAACTAATTTCTATAACGATATTCCTGTTCCTCCTAGACAATCAGTATATCAGCATAATTTCTTTGAATTTTCAATAACTCTGTAAATAATATACTTGATTAAAACCTGGAAATCTGTGTTAGTTAAATAATCAAATCATACTTTGGGGGGGGGGAGTGAAGATTATTCCTTTTTCTCTTTGCTTGATGAAAAGCAGTCTCAATAATCTGATCACATGAGCGATTCCTTGAAATGAACATTTCCTGTTATTTGAGAAAGAGAACAACCGGGCCAAATTGTTTCAATCAATAGTTAAGTAACAAGCTCAGTTATAAGTATTCATTACCTGTAACCTAGAAACAGGTCAATAATAAATATCAAACAACGATTCTAAGAAAAGATGCTTTCAGAGATCTATTTAAATCGAATTTAGTTTTTTTTTGTCACTGGTTGGAAAACTATTGATTCGCTCATATATAAGTGAATAAAGCTTAAACTTTAACTCTTCAAGTTAGTCTACTTTTTACTGATTTTTACAGTCTAAAAATCAAACATTAGTCAATGGATAAATGGTCATAATTCAAAGAATAAGGTGAGTTGCTAGTTACGAACTAATAATAGCTGATTAACATCATAGCTTATTGCCAATCAAGTTGACTTTATTCTTACAAAATATACAACTATTATTCCCACTCTCTGTAAATGTCATTCGTGGTAGATGTGATCCATTGAGAAAGGAGATAACAAAAGTGAATAAACTTAAGCGATTTGTTCATACCTACGACAATAGATCAGCTAAAAATTATACCATTTTTGCATTGATAACAAAATTATTTCAATGTTTATTAATTATTACTACATACTAATTCTATATTATCCTCCTTTAACTCAGGTCTAAGTAACCTAATCCACTATTTAACTTACAGGGACTAAAAACAGTTACTAACCCAATTTATCTTCATTGTTCAATATGGTTTTTCTACTGACTTTACTTAAGTGAATAATTTCTACTTTTATTGTATTCAGAAATTATCGTGCAATGACATGTAATTGGTTTTACGAGACAGTAATTCAACGATTCAGAGAATTCGGAAGTACAACTGTTGCTAAAAGTTTATTTGGATCAACGTACAAACGTAAGTTTAGTATAATGTTTAATAGAAAAAATTTGATTCAAAGCTTTCTCAGTATTATTATTTTTCGAAAATATCACAATCATTATTGCTTCAAAACATTTCCAGCTAAGATGTTTACCATATATATTACGTCACTGCCTACCACAAGCCTCTAAGCTAGTCAAAATAGTAGGACGTTGAAAAAGAGCTAGAATAGGCTTAACCAAGACATTGGATCATTCGACTAAATCACTGATTGTTGATCTACATAGCTCCAAATGGTGCACAAAGACTCTGGTTGAAAACCTTAGAAAAAAGAATTATTATGTGAATATAGTCAATAGCACTATTGAACAAAGGGATGTTACAAACATTCAGACAGAATTTTCTTCCATTTAGTTTCCTACTTTTATTAATTAATAATTAAAAAGGCCAATTACACTTTACTATTTACTGAAAGTAATCACTTCATCAATAATTGCCTGGAATAATGACAACTGGATAATGTAAGTAGACTTTTTTTGATCAGATCAACTTTGGGAAAGATTTCCATATGTTAACCGCGTAAAGTGTTTGACTGATTCACCAATTACATCAAATGAGGACCATTGAAGTCATAAATAATAACTAATGAGTTATTCACGTGACATGGAATTGGAAGATTAGAGTTAAAATTTTGTGATTAATATGGACTGTAGATGGAATCACAAGCTAAGATAAAGTAGTGGTCCAGTCCTCCTTTCTTTTCATTGATTGTTTTAAAAGTTGACTTCAGTATGTAATGGAAATTAGCTACAGACGATGTGGCTTCTTTGTTATAAAATTATGAGTTCCTTTAAAATTCTCTGCGATCTTCATAATGTATTGATGAATAATACAAAAATTCGAAGTGTAAAGTTATAATACCACCATTGAGAGATTTAAAGGTCAAAAAACTGAATATGTTCGTATCTCTAGAACTACCCAATAGGGTAGAGCTCCATTTTCTCTTTAAGTTGTTCCATTCAAATACATTTCGTGAATCACATTTTATTTCACTACTTTTACACTGTAATTTAGGGTTGATTGAAAAATTACATTCCTGCCACTCAATATAATATAAGACACTCAGATTGAGAGTCATCACATTCGTTGCAGATGCATGCTAGTCGATATTCTCTTCTTCCCATTACTGTATCAATCTGTCCAGTTATATCGGTTATTTGATATGTAGAACCAGCTAAGAAAGGATTATAAACAAGCGTACAGTAGTACAATAGTTGAAATCAGGATTGCTGTCAACTGGTTAATTAATTTGTAATAATGAAATGAAAACTTACAATACGTAAATATTATTATAGTTCTGAACAATACTATTATTACAAATAGAGAGGAATGTTTTTATGGAATATGTTCGCTGCAATATGTAGATATTTCAAATATCTTCGTAGTCAAATTATTGTCCATCCTTCTCTGGTTACAAAACTCATCATAAATGAACATAAGGGATTTAAAACGTTATCCATTAAAATGTTTTTGATTTAGATTATGAACTGATTGGTGTTAGACCACCATAGAAAACCTGGAAGCACTGGATGACCGTTTCGTCCCATTGTGGGACTTCTCAGCAGTGCATATCCACGGTCCCGCTCTCAGAGTTTTGAACCCAAGGCGTTCAGTCTCGCGCGCGAACGCCTAACCTCTAGACTACAGAGTAGGCATCCAACGGTGTTAATGTCTAATCCCAACCAATCTGCGAAATTGTGTGACCATATTTCATTGTCTGAGGTAGATACCTGTCTCTACTCAACACGAATTAGCTCCACTGGTCACGGTTTCTCACTAGAACTCCAAGAAAGAATGAACACTGCCGAGAAGTCCCACAATTGGACGAAACGGCCGTCCAATGCTCCCAGGTTTTCAATGGTGATCTAACAAGAATCGGTTCATGATCTCAATCAAAAACTTAATAATTTCCACAATCCTATACTGACCATTAAAATATATTTGTCATGTGAATAAATAATAATCATTTTTATCATGAATATTAAGCTAAATATTTATGATAATTATAAAATTAATTAAATTAATTTCGATAATTACTTCCGATTGATTTCTTTACATAATGATTTTAGTAATTTTTTTGTGAAAACATAATGAATACTGATACTTATTGTTCTGTTTTGCTCATTTTGGCTAATGATGTTTCGAATAATAAGTGATTAGAGGATATCAACAAAATCTCTGAAATCGCATTTCGTGCTAGTTACCACCTCTTGTTAGTAAGACTTACATGCAGTTTTGAGTGAAATGATGCTCTCTCTCTGTGGGATCTGAAACTGTGTCTCCCAGTTTAACAATGTGAGACTTTACCATTGTATTTTAATTGCTGAGACTGACGACTTACATGAAAAAGATATTTAAACTGATTGGTTGCTAAGCGGTCTTGTTTTTGTGGTCCTTATAAATAAATGAATTCTATTGATAATTATGTAATTTTACCACCAGTTTAAATAATCTGACATTCACTAAACTATGTTTCCTTATCAGATAGTTAGCATAATCTACTGTCACGAAAGAAAGGAAATCTTTTTTTGATTCAAGTTAAGCGTCAGATATCGATCAAATTAACACTAGTTTTATGTAGATATAACTTGCTTGCAAGTAGTGTAAACAGAAAGTGTATTTAATATAATGTTGTATCATGATTAGAAATTATTCTAATAAAGCCAAAAGCGTTGATTTTTAACGATACTGGTTTCGTAGACATTACCGTAAATGAGAAACAAATCAATACATAAAAATGCTTATTAATGTATGGGGTTATATTAATTTGTGAATTTTGAGTTTCATATCACAGACTAACGTTATTTAGACAACTAGTGAAAACTAGAAAACAATTGATTGCCATTTTGTATTGAACTCGTTGATATTTTACATCTATGGACTCACTATAGATTGAACCCAGAATCTTTAGGCCTCTCAATGAGCACATAACTTTGAAACCACTGAATTAACAGGCCATGATAATACTTCTAAATCCAATCGATTTGTAAGATTACCTAACCATCGTCCAATGTTATTCATCAGCATTCGTCTCATACTTGACACAGTTGAACTTTATTGTGGATCGCGAGTTGGCTACTCTAAATTCTACCAATTGACAAGCTTCAGATATCCCAGTTCGACCCCAATACTGTTCCCAATCTCCAATATATCAGAACACGAACCGTAGATGGAAAATCGTTTATGGGGTCAGGAGCAGCAGAATAATGACTTACAAACAAATGCATATTTATACAGTTAGGATTACTATAAATATTGACCAACAGAAAGATGACACGTTAAATAATATTGACCAATGGGAAAATGACACGCGAAATAAATATTGATCAGTAGGGAAACGACCAATAGGGAAATGACACCATTTAACGTTCAAGGGTAGCGTTAGACTTAACCGGATAATTGTTTCTGGGATATTTTTCTGAGTATCCCAACACCTCCCCTTTGGAGAAGTTAATAGCGACGTACCGAGGGTTTACTTGAAGTTTCTTTGGGTGTCTTCTTTTGCGATCCGACCTCCGAGGCAACCACACAGAACCAGAAGGATGTTCTACTTGAGTAGGTGACTTAGTCGTCTCTGTTGAAGGTATTGGCGGAAGTTGAAACGTGTCCAACAGCAAGTCGAGTGGGACGTGTTTTGTAATTGCTTCTTTCTCCTTCGCTTTCCTTGACCTGAGTTGATTGTGGTGCCTGGTCCAGATTTCTTGGTTCACCTTGACATCATACATGACGTTCCCATGTTTTTGTGTGATTTCACCCTCTACCCATTTATCACATCCATGTCTATAATCTCGCGCATACACTTTTGTACCAACTTCGTAGGGAATTCGAGTATTCTTCATCTGGGGGCTTTGCTGGGCCACTTGCTTGGGTTTCATCACACCATGAACTGTCCGTAGCTTTCGCCCCATAAGCATCTCAGCAGGGGATTTGGAGCTTGGCAATAAGTCATGCGGGGTCGTCCGGTACGCAACTAGAAATCGTTCTATGATATCTTCTGTGGTCCCCTCCCCTCGTGCTTTAAGCATGGCTCGTTTAAATGTATCAACGAACCTTTCAGCTTGTCCATTAGATTGCGGGTGATATGGCGGAGAACGAACATGGTTGATCGAATTTTGCAGGCAAAATTCTCGGAATTGGCTAGATGTAAATTGTGAACCATTGTCTGTTACTATTGTTTCTGGAAGACCATGCTGAGCGAAGATCTGATTAAGGAGTTTGATGGTTCGAGTTGTAGAGGGTGGGGCAATCGGCAATATCTCCGGCCATTTGGAGTATGAGTCAACCAGTATCAGATATGTGGTACCATCTAGGGGTCCGGTGAAGTCAATATGCACTCGCGACCAGGGTTTTTCTGACTTCGGCCAGGGTACTGGAGGCAACTTAGGAGGATTTTTCGCAGCTTTTTGGCAATGTGAACATCTTTTGACGAAGTCGACAATCTGCTTGTCCATATTTGGCCAATATGCATAGCTTCGAGCGATGGATTTCATACGGTTTATCCCTGGGTGTCCAGAGTGGAATTGGCGTAGGACCTTGGAACGTAGGGTTGTTGGAATTACTACGCGATCACCAAACATCAGACAATCGTTAACAATACAGAGAGCGCTGCGACGATTCGCTAATTGTTGCATATCACCACTCAGCTGTTTAACTGGCCATCTGCTCTGAACATAGGTGATCGCTTCTTGGATAATCGGATCTTCTCTTGTAGCTTCCCGAACATCTTCAGCGGTAACAGGCATTGCTCGAACGGCATTCGCCAATAGTGTAGCACCGGAATCCTCTTCGGTTGATACTATGGCTATGAGTGTGTCCTCATCAGTGGTAGAATGGTTACTGATAAGTCTGGACAGTGCATCCGCTTGACCAAAATCTTCGGAACGTCGATACTGGATGTCGAAGTCGTACCCCAATAATGCCAACGCCCAACGTTGAAGACGATTAGCCGAATGGGTAGGAATGCCTTTCTTTGATCCAAAGATTGATAACAACGGCTTGTGGTCTGTGAGCAAGGTGAAACGGCGCCCATAAATGAATTTGTGGAATCGCCGGACAGCAAAAATTAGGGCTAACGCTTCCTTCTCTATCTGGCCGTAGCGTTTCTCAGCAGGTGTTAGTGTTCTCGAAGCGTGCATCACCGCTTTCTCTGACCCGTCGGGAAAGACATGTGAGATTACGGCACCCAGTCCATGTGTTGAAGCGTCAGCAGCAACCACAATGGGTAGTTTCGGATTGTAGTGGGTTAGCAGAAGATTGGAACTTAGCATAGCTTTAAGTTTTGAAAAGGCTGACTCACATTGCGTTGACCAATTCCAAGTAGCATTCTTTTCTAGCAGACGATTTAATGGATATCGTACGTCATGCAGTGATGGAAGAAATGCTGAATAGTAGCTAATCATCCCCAAAAATGATCGCAGTGAGGAGACATCAGTGGGAGCAGGCATTTGTTGGATTGCGTAAGTATTTTGAGGATCAGGGTGTCGTCCGGAAGCATCAAAGATAAACCCCAGGTACTTAACGAAACGTAAGAAGAATTGGCATTTTTCTGGGCGAAGGCGAAAACCATTATCCTGGAGGCGTTGCAGAACTAAGTGGGTTCTGGTATCCAATTCATCAACAGTTGAGCCGACAATGAGCACATCGTCAAGGTATGTGGCAACACCAGGAACATCTGACAGAATAGTGTCCATGATCTGCTGGAAGATCGCTGGAGCAGTTTTGATACCGAAGGGTAACCGGGTATACTGAAAAAGTCCTCGGTGAGTGTTGATTGTCAACAACTCTCTGGATTCTAGAGCGACTGGAATTTGAAGGTAAGCATCTGCCAGATCCAGCTTAGCAAAATAGGTACCACCATTTAAAATAGTAAATAAGTCATCTGGGATCGGCAGCGGATAGTGATGCTGTTGTAGAGCCGCGTTGAGTCCTGTAGAAAAGTCTGCACAGATGCGTATGGAACCATTGGATTTTTTTACAACCACAATTGGTGCAGCCCATGATGAATGAGAAACAGGTACTAGGACACCTTCAGTTTCCAAACGTTGAAGTTCAGCGTCAACCAGAGGTAAAGATGCGTATGGGACTGGACGCTTTGGGCGAAAAACTGGCGTAGCTTCTGGCTGCAGTTTTAAAACAGCTTCAGTTGTGGAACAAAGTCCGAGACCAGGCTTAAATAGTTCAATAAATCGTTTTCGAAGGTCTTCAGCATGCTGTTGTGTAGAAGCAGTAGTTTGGACTTGATTGCAGACAGCGCTAATAGGAAGATCAGCGAGACCAAGTTCTTCGAACCAATCTAAACCTAAAAGGTTGAGCGGAGAATTGGTGATGTAGCATGTCCCATTGAAGGTTGTACCTCTGAATGAAATACAGCAACAGAGTTCACCATGAAGGCGGAGATGACCCCCACAAGCACTGACGGCTGTTTGAGAGGATGGTTTGATGGGAGGTTGACCCAAGGTTCGCCAAGTCTTTTTCGACAAAATGGTGATATCTGATGCAGTGTCCAACTGCAAACGAACAGGCTGACCATTGATTGAGAGGGTCAAAAATTTGCGTCGAGTCGCGGCATGAGTATGGAAGACTGCTGCTAAACTCCTTGATGAGGTAATCGGCTTTTTGTGAAAACGACGCTGCGTCTGTGCATTTCGACGGTTATTGAATCGGTTGGATTTGCAAAAGCCGCTTTTGTGACCAACTTTCTGACAGCGATCGCACACATGCTGTTTGAATGGACAGAACTTCACATAATGCCAGGCTCCACAGTGCCAACATGGCGAGGGGGGCTTCTTCTGAACCGGTTTAGAGTGATTAGAGATAGAAACAGCGCTGGCGTTCGAAGGACTCGAGTTTGTCGATCTCGAAGATTTTTTTGGTAAAAAAAAAAAAAAAAAAAAAAAAAAAAAAAAAAAAAAAAAAAAAAAAAAAAAAAAAAAAAAAAAAAAAAAAAAAAAAAAAAAAAAAAAAAAAAAAAAAAAAAAAAAAAAAAAAAAAAAAAAAAAAAAAAAAAAAAAAAAAAAAAAAAAAAAAAAAAAAAAAAAAAAAAAAAAAAAAAAAAAAAAAAATCACGGTTAACGCCGACTGGTAGGAAGTCATCAGACTCATTCATGACCAGTTTTAAGCAGCGATATCGGGTACTGAAGAGTGAGTGATGATCACCAAAAAGTTGGCTAAGGGACTGAATAGTGGCGTCGAATGAACGGTCGCGTGGGTTCTGCGGTAGAATGAAATTGCAATACTTATCCAGCTCGGATGGACCAAGTTTACGGAGAAGAAGACGCACCTTCCACGAATCATCTCTGTCAACAAAGTCAACTTTGAAAAGGTCTTCATAACGTCTGAACCAGGTATCAAATGTAATGTTGGCATCAGGATCATAAAGAAATTCTGAAATACCACTGGTAATACCATCAACTGATTCAGGAATTGTCGGCGTAGTTGGGACTCGAGAAGATATGTGCGTCTGAGTATCATCTCCATCAGCTTCAGCTGCTGTACGAACAATTTTCTAATTTGGATCCATAGTTAATAACCATTGTTGCAAATCTCCGTCGTCAATATTGTGAATCGCGAGTTGGCTACTCTAAATTCTACCAATTGACAAGCTTCAGATATCCCAGTTCGACCCCAATACTGTTCCCAATCTCCAATATATCAGAACACGAACCGTAGATGGAAAATCGTTTATGGGGTCAGGAGCAGCAGAATAATGACTTACAAACAAATGCATATTTATACAGTTAGGATTACTATAAATATTGACCAACAGAAAGATGCACGATAAATAATATTGACCAATAGGAAGATGACACGCGAAATAAATATTGATCAGTAGGGAAACGACCAATAGGGAAATGACACCATTTAACGTTCAAGGGTAGCGTTAGACTTAACCGGATAATTGTTTCTGGGATATTTTTCTGAGTATCCCAACAAACTTCAATGATGACAGCTTTTAACTAGAACTCTGATAAACACTTTTCTAAATTAATTATTAGTACACACATATTTATCCTCGGTATATGAGGTTATAGGAGTTAATTAATTTATAGTGCTTTTTAGTGCTTAATGGTCATCTAATTAAAGTCATTTCATCATTTAAAACTATGAAATACTTGTTTATTAATATGTTTGATAACAATTAATTACTAGTCGGTTGAATTAATTATTGATTTGTATATTTTAGAAGTCCAAAATATGGCTGAAGAAGAACTTTGGAATCTTTTATTTCGATCTTCATCATCCAAAAGAAACTCTATCGAATCGAGTATGTGTTTTATGTATAATTGTTCTTGTGTGTATATTCAAAATGATAAATTATTCAATCTTTTTATTTACGGTTTAAGTTTACAGGTATATTTTCGCTTCAGTTATTATTTTAAATCATCGGTTCAGTCAGTCAGTAACAACGTAGAACTTTATACATACGTACATCAGTTCGAGTTGCCATACCACAATGGCACACAGATACAATTGTCCATTCAAATCCCATAGTGGTAGAGGTAGTAAACGTATGAACAGTATTAGGAAACATTAAAGTTTGAAGATGTTATTCAAGAAGCATAATCGAGTGAAATATATTTGAAAGATAAAAAAGAAGGGACATGAATAATTCAGAAGATTAGAATTTGGGAGAACACAAAGAGTGATTGCACCTGCGTCATTGTAAACGATTTTGATCCATGTCACTCAAGGTCTCTAACCATCGGTTGCTATCTTCTGGCGGATCCCAACCAGGTAGTCTACACCTACCAACATGACTCAGTCCACTTGTCAGTAACTTCATGGATAATCTACACACAGGATGCACATATATCAACACGAGATAATCCAAACCATTTCATCATAATAACTAATTTACACTTGTCTTAATGAAATATCTATGTAATTGTGTTATAAATTACATTCATATATTATCATAATAACCCTATACAACTATTAAAATGCTAAATCCAATAAAATATCATGAAGAAGACACAAAAATGGTTTTTAAAAATAAAAGAACACTTTCCCTGACATCTTTTTCTTTTGAAAATCAATGTGACATGAATAGATTGGGATCCATGCATTAAACATTATAATTAGTATTTGAAGACAAGAAAAAAACTAGTTAAAGCCTTTTACAGTTGAAAGTAAATGACAAACACAAATACTGTCGGTATACACAATGAACACATTGTTTTTCTTGGTGACTGTCAATGTAATCTTTTCTAGAATGGAATTTTTTCATAATTTTGCATATTTTATCCTAAAAAAAACAGAAAAAAGAACCTTTTTTTCTATCTGCAATCAACCATATGCTACTGAATATTGCGTTTTGCGTTAGTAACAGTCGCCAACCAATGATTAATCAGTTTTTTAATAAGCATAAATAAACGATTTAAGATTATCTTGTCAGTTCTAAGTATTATCAAAGAAAAATATGATCATTAGGAGTATTTGAATTATAATACAAACTAGGAATCTCAGAAATAATGCAATCGGATCAAGAAGTACTAAAATTCGAAATCAAACATTCAACAGGTATAAAAGAATCGTTAGTTCATACAAACACAACATCCGTCATAGCTTAAATTGGAGTCTCAGTTTCTGTAGTCGATTTACGTCTACTCCTTATGTTCATTCTGTGCCTGTTCGACAGTGTATTGGATGTAGACTCTATATGATATAGGATGTATTCACTAGTATTAGGACCAACAACTGCAATTGCAACGGAATCACCATATCGGTTGTGTACTGAAATCACTAATATTTAGAATTTGAACCATAGATTTTCCAACATTATCCTCCCCCACGAAATAATATTGGATCTTCATATCCCCAAGTTATGAATGATGTGGCTTCATTTAAAACATATTTCTCACATTGACCAGAGTATACATTAGAAGTGACTTCATGATAAGGATAAATAACAGTTGATATGAAATCATCCGAATTGTAATCAAAATCGAGCTCATTTAGAATTCGTGCTTCGCATTGAACAAGTTTCCCACAAGAAACAATGCATTATGAGGACAAATAATATTTGATAGAACATCAAGATTTTATTCTTCTAAAATCGCTTCCTCAAATTTATTAAAAACGTCATCAAAGAATAATGGATCATTAGAAAAATCAGCATCTATCAAAACTACATCAGGTTTTCGGTCATGATTTGATTCACTCAACATATTCTCCTCGGATTTATAAGAAATTTCATCAGAAATATATGAATCATTAGGACAAACCATACCTGGTACAATAACATGGGAAATCTGATAAGAAGTTGGTTGATTAGAAACTTTTGTCTCACAGTGATTCTGAGTTTCATTCAATTCTAAACCACTTTACAAAGTTATGAATAAAGACAAATAATCGTTAGAAACACCAAACGTAATTGGATCACAATTACAAATTTTATCATTAGTTGCAGCGGAATGAACTGTAGTGTAACAAACTGACTAAATATGTCCAATCTTAACATATATAAAATTAAGAAATGCACATAAATTAAATGAGTGAAACCTACCACAGGACGAACACTGACCAAACTTATGCCCATCATCGTGAACTGCATCGCAACTCCTCAATGAATTGTCTGCATAACGTTGAGTACGCACTGGATTGGGATGACGTAGTAATGTAAAAGAAGATTTTATATCCTGATGAATCATTTTACGAATTCTCCCTCCTTTACCACATTTGAAATTTTTATACGTAACATAGTCTAGCAGTAGTTCCTTGAGAATTGCATAAGAAAATGAAATAGGCTTTTCTGATAGAGCCAGAGGTTTTAGTAAGCTATAAGCTTCATTTTCGATTAATGTGAGGAAATGTGCTACAATATTAACATCCTCATCATCTTCCTTGGTCATAGCCTAGATTTCGAAACTTTCCAAGTAATCCTCAAAAGCATCAAAATCTGAATATATGTCCAATCATTCCATCACAGGTTCCATCGCGACGTCAATGTGATAATTAGGAGTATTTGCATTATAGTACAAACTAAGAATCTCAGAAATAATGCAATTGGATCATGAAGTACTAGATAACCACAAACGAATGTATTGTATTTAGAATTCGAAATCAAACATTCAACAAGTACAAAAGAATCATTAGTTCATACAAACATCACAAAATACTACTTGATCTACTTTTTTTCTACTGTTTTCATAACAACAACAAAAAACAACATATTCATATATTATTTCATATTAAACATTTTAGAAGAATCAGACAAGTTTTATTCAGCAGATCAAGCTAGAGAAGCACAAATTAAAAAATTAAGAAATCGATTAGAAAAATTAATGGAAGAAACTTTATCTGAATTAAATGCTGTTGAAAAAAATGATTCATTATCACCAAGACAAATCACTTGGCAACGTAAGTTATTAATGCTAATAGTGTACTTTAATTTGCTTTGTTGAAAGTTAACAGTTACAAAAAAAAAGAGAATACTGTTGGATAAAATGATGAGTCTTATCTATTGTTTATAAGCATTGGATTGTAATAAATTTGAAACTTATCAAATTATTAGTTCAGTAACCTTCTTCAATTGTTATCAATCAGAATACATCTTAGCGTGTTTATATCTTGTTTTGTACAGAAGTTAAATGTGTAATGACATGAGTCTTCTCTCAAGAAACGGCTATTCATTTCATTCATTTTCTAAATCATTTGAAATGGCTGATCAATTTATACAATAAACATCTAGGTAGAAAGTAATATTTTCTAAGCAAAGGGTATTGTATAACTGTTTTTGTACCACATGTGATAAATACTATTGAGATTATTTCAAATCTTTAGAAAGAGTCGTAACTCAATAATAATTATATCTATGTTGGTGAATTTCTTAGAGGTAGATTGAACAGTTATATGTAGTGCGATTCAATACTCTGTGAGGTGAATTACACTTAGTAATTGACACAGTGACTCAAAACTCCAATAATCAATGACAGCATTGTATCATCAAAACTGAATGACATTGAAAAGTTTGGCAACTAGACTTGAGACTATTGTTTAAGTGTTATTTATAATGTATTGGTGAAAACCATAACCCATAGACCGATGATAATTGAGATTGAAGCTGATCAGGAAAACTTGTGAGTAGATTTTCTGTATAAATCATAATATAAACATAACTCATATGTTACTAGTGTATATTTCAATATAATTTAATAAAAACTGAAACTTTTGATCACAGCATAATATGCAGTAGCTATAAACAGTTTAATATTAGTATTAAAAGGGGTTTTGTGGATAATATAGTAATTTTGATAGTTGGGATTATAAGTCAATTGAAGCTAGATCACCATGGAATACCTAGAACCAATGGACGGCCGTTTCGTCTTATTGTGGGACTTCTCAGCAGTGTGCATCCACAATCTCGCCTCGCGAGATTCGAACACAGGACCTATCGGTCTCGCGCGCGAACGATCAACCTCTAGACCACTGAGCCGGAATCTAACGGTGTTAATGTCTAAATTAAACTAACCCACGAAATTGAGTTTAATATTAAACTTCATAAAAGGCATACAAATCACTAAAATTTCAACTTCAGTCAGTTCACTACAATGAGTGATTTTCAACAAATTCTTTGGTTTCAGGATTGAAAATATAATTTACAGTCCATTTGTTCCTGATTTGATAACTGGTAGGATTGGTTACTATGTGAAGCCCATATAACTTACTCTAGCTTCTGGACAGGCCAATTTATTAATTCTTCCTGAGTCACGTTTCGACCCTGTTAATTACTCATTTATCATCCTTGACTGTTTTTATATGAGCGTATGTGTGTTCATTTCCTATCTCAATAGTCACATGTCTATAACTTAATTCTGTCTAACTATAAATATTGATTCACGCATGATTAAAATGAGTTGGCTCACACTCCCTCTCCACTGCGCGTCACTTTGTTCCACTCTCTTCTCTTCGCTTTCTTCACTTCGTTTCTTCGATAGTTTGTCTCGATTAACAATTGTACGAAATATACATATTCAATCATCCATTCTCGTATTTGACTTATTTGATTCCGTTATTTACTAAAATGAGTTAAGTCAATAATTATATACTAGGATTGGCGATATGTATATCTCAATAGCAATCAGAAGCGATCAAAATGGAGTCAAATATATGTCTACTAAAAACGGATTCATTCAATCCATTTCAGTTAGTAAACACATTCTACATGAATAACTCAACAAAATATATACAGTTCCAACAAATTGCTGAGAAGTCCCACAGTAGGACGAAACGGTCGTCTAGTGTTTTGAATTTTCCATAGTGATCTAGTTTCAATTGACTCATGAATTCAACTATTAAACTGTAGAATATAGCAGTTTCGTCTGTTCAATACATTGTATTCATTATATATATGTCTTCATTCCAAAATTAAGACAGTAGTTTTTTAGTAAATAAAAAAATAACAAATTCGAAAGTGATTGCGTTTCTCTTTTTCTCCCTTCAGCAATTTGATTGGCATTCCATCTACTGTTTTTTTTATACTTTTGAAGTGATTATTTCACCTTATTACTGTCATCTTGACTTTTTATCCCCCCGTCATTAAGTAAAATGATTGACAGGTAACTGAAAACTGGGGGGATTTTTTGTCTTCTAAACCGAAAACATGAATAAACAAATTTTCAAATGATTAGAAATTTTTTTCAATATTTGAAACTGAAAGGAAAATATAAAAAATAGAGCAAATCAAATTATGTTGTCAAGTATAATAATAGTCATCATAGTAACAAATTGGATTGAGTATTAGTAATGGTAAGGATTTCAGTCATCTATTTGAAGAGTTAATAGGTTATTAAAGACTGATCAGATTCACTCTTGAAAATATTGATTAATGAGAATATACAAGTTCTGAAAATTGATAATGTATAGCAACTATCCTACAATCACTTGGTATTGTTTGGCTTGTATCTTCCCATTGAGGTTTAAGACTGCAATTGATCAACTCTGAGATGCAGGTACATCCAGCCGACGAGTCCCAAATAGAACGAAACGCGCGTCCTCGATTCCACTGCTCGCTACTATCCATCATTGCTTACAATAAGCTTGTGAATTAGGCAATATCGAGGCATACGCACAGTATGCACATATGCCAATAACAGACTGATCAATTGCAGTCTTAAACCTCAATGGGAAGATACAAGCCAAACAATACCAAGTGAATTCAAATTCACCCCATTGCACAAGTAAGTGGCTATCAGGACTCAGTAGCTGTGTGGATAACACGATGGCATTTGAAGCGAATGGTACTGGGTTCGAGTGCCACAGTGAACATCAACTGTCAGATGCAGGTACATCCAGCTGACGAGTCCCAATTAAGACGAAACGCGAGTCCTGGATCCCACTGCTAGCCATTATCCATCATTGCTTACAAAATATCCTACAATCCATTTCGATTATGGTTAATTTCGGTTAACTTAACAGACAACGTTATTTGGGCAGTAACAATCCGTCTATTAATTTTTACTGTTATGATCACTAGATCACATGATAGACTCTAGCTAAAATGTTGATCGCTTAAATATCACTCGATGATTCATTCTCCTCTCCATTTATATATGTACTTAAATCTTATTATTAGCTTTTGCTGTGCCTTTATACAATTTCATTATGAATTTGCTCGTATATACTTATTCGCCTCTCTGCTTCAAATTTGTTTGATGTATTTTGTAATCTGCGCTAACCACGAATAAACTGTAGTCGCCGCTTCTCATTACCTTCTGATTTTAAACACTGTTGAGATTTATTTTATAACGGTTGTTGAGGTGATTGAATAACGAAACAAAGCCATTACAAATGATATATCGTGTAGTAAATAATATTATTCAATAGGATAGCAGAGATCCACTTAGCTTTTAGAGTATATCAGTAAAAGATCCTAGTATAATTAGAAAATGTTCTACATGAATATTATACGAGTATTCACTAGAAACTTTTGTTTCTGTGTTAAACATTATCAGAATAGTATCTGGTATAATATGTACTCGGAATACTCATCTCTAACCTTGAGGTATAAATTCTGATATCCATATTTTTCACTTATAATAGCTCATTTCTACTAGGTCAGTTTTATGAGCTACATTTAAACCAAATCCTTAAAAATATAAATTTAAGAATGACCAAAGTTTATTAGCTAAAAAGCAATAGAAGACTCTACTATCATCAGTTATACAATGAAGAAACTTTCAAATCATATTTTAGTTGCGAAGCTTCCCTAACAACATTCACTTTGTTGTTGCTATTATTATTAGTTATTATACTTCTGTATTAAACAGAATGTTGTATTAATCATAAAACCCTACCCTGTAACTAATCACTATTCTTATTAATACCTCTAGACAAAGTATTATGTGATATACGAAGTTTGTAGCAATATATACTCATTTGATCATCTTTTCTTGAAATATAAAACTCTTTAAAAGTCTGATATTATTTATGATTACTTAGATGCAGCTTTCATTACAGTAGTGCTGTTTTGTTCCCGTTGATACCCCTAAGAGTTACACGAAATCATAAATACTGTATGATACTAAGAATCACAATAAATTTCCACTTTAGCTAACGAAATATAAAAATAATATCCTCGGGTTATTCACACACATTCTACTCTGTTATAGTTTATTTAACTTCTGACAGTTTCTTTACTTTGTACACCAATATTGTTTGCTATTTAACATTGAATAAGATTACAAAGGAGAAATAATATTTTCCATTTTTCCTTAAGATGAAAGTGTGGGCATGAAGTTTAAAAAGAACGCCTGTCGTGAAATGAGAAATTTCATTCAAATTCTCTACATAACAACTGAAAGTAAGTGGAAGTTTTTAAATGTTCTCACAATTATATAACTATTTAGATCATAACTATGCAATAAATTGGTACAATACATTCCTGACAGTTTTATCATATATTGAATTGTTAAAACATTTATAGATAGGAAGTCGAATGTTGATAGGACAGATTGGAAGTAAGAGAAAAGTTAAGGCAATCATCAAAACGATATTAAATGCCATCACAAAGTACTAGCACAAAACAACTCTCATTCAAAACATAGGTTTCTTGAAACCCCAACTGTATGATGGTTCAAACCCCCTTATGTCCAAAAAAAATCTGCACTTAAAGTAAACTTACCCTGGTAAGGTTGAGTTATTATCCGGAGTGGTGTGTTTTGTGCCCTTTAACTTATGATCATTGTTTTCCTCTTATCTTTCAATTTGTTTGGTCGACCTTCGGATTTCTATCTGCAAATGTCTTCACAAGTAAATTTATGATCAGACTGTCAGAAGTGTATTGAGCCAATAAATCACATATTTCTAGTTAACTTCGCATTTTCATTGCATTATCTAAATTTATCAAAAGAAGGTAACTTTTAAAGTACTTAAACTTGACATTTGTTGTTTTATCTAACTACTGATTAAATTGCTAGTAGTAAAAATAAATAAATAAACTTTTTATCTCTTGAGTAGCATTTATGTATATGGTTTACATTTTCAAGGCACTATTAGGATATACAGTTAATTGAAGTGTGTTTACTCTGTTCAAACTAGTCCAAACAGCCTTTCAATATCAAATCATTCCACTGGTATTCATATTCATTTATTTCGGTAGGATTCTTTAACTAAATAAGCTACGTTCATTATTATTTATACCTCTTATTTATTGAAATGTATATAAATCAATAGATCGTTAAAAACAAGCTATAGTGCTTATCAAGCTAGAATGAGACTTTATTTAACGAGTTTGTCAAAATAGGTTTCTTCTTGAATTAACTTAAGGATGCCAGTCCGAAATAAACATGGTATATCATGGAGTATTTCTTAAACTCTGTTGCGAAGCTTAATTTAAATCTTCATCGTGTTTTTGAAAGTTACGTTACAAGACAGATTATGACTATTTCTTTATAGATATTGTTGGTTTCCACCAATTATGACTTCCTGATGGAATTTCAGGAATCTATGTCAATGTTTGTCACCAGCAGGCTAACAACTGTTTTGCTAGTTTACTTCAGTTTCTTGAAGGTTTTTTGGAATAAACACATGATTTACACTTATCAAAAAGTTTGAGAATTAATAAAAAATGTACCACTTTCCACAGGCATTTGGATATTTTATTGTCAATTACAAAATGGACATTGTTTAACAAAGAGCATTAGTTTTCAAATTCAAGCAAAACATTCATTATAACATGACAGTTTTCTTGATCAACGAAGTTGAGACCATGAAAATAACTAAGGGCGAAAAGTATTCACAATTAGTTAGTCATGACCAATGAAAAACCTGGCATAAATGTGTATCTTTTAGAGTTGTCAGACGTATTAGCACAGTGATATGAATTTGCCAAGACAAATACTTAAGTATTATAAGTAGAAATGGTATTACCTGTATTATTTTCAGTCAGAGAAGATGAGCAATGTGGTGTATGATGAAATAACATTTCTGCCTAAAATACCATTTTGATGTATCTTCCATATCATTCCTTAAGTAAAACATTGCAAAAATTTCCTCTTTCTAACAAACATCTAATCAGAAGATAATATAGCTAATCACAAGTTCTTTAAAATTTTGTTTCGTAAATCAAGTGGAGTGAATATTTTAGCAGATTGAATTTAGATCATTAATTTGACACCTCCATGGTTTATAATTCTAACTTTTTTACATATAAGCGATAAAACACTATTATCATTGATTGTTTTCAGTAATACCTATCTTACTATGGACATGGTTGAACTCATTTATTGTTAAATGACTGATATTTTGGACCATAAGATATGATGATATTAAATAATGCTTTAAATGAAAGCTTTCATTTAGACATGTAGAAAAAGCTGTTTTAAACCAACCATTTGATGGGCACTTTCTGAAGATATACGGCGTTTTGTTTACACATCTTTTAGAAAACTTAATTACAACTAACTTCAATGACAAAGGAGAATGAAATAGTTTTTTTGGTATAGATGATGTATCCGTCTACCTATTAAAAGTCGAGAACATTATACAGCAGTTTACTTTGTAATGCCTTATGGCTGATCAATACATCCTTAAGAAGAGAAAGACATTCATAATTTGTTAGTATACGATTTTAGATGTCTTTGAAGTATTGGTTGAGTTCAGTGACAGCACTAAATAAGTGATAATCACCGAAGGCCCAAGTAATGAGTAGAAATGATAAACTACTTGATGATAGTAGACTTTTGTTATTAATAAGGCAGTCATCTGCACCTACTCACTCTAATAGCCAGCACCGAGGGAGTTGGAACAAAGTAATGGATCATTATATCAAAATATTACATCAGCTCACCTCTATTTTTGGCTAGTTTGAAGAAACATAATTACAATCTATCAGTTGATAATATAATATACTTTAAAATTTACTGATCAGCAATTCAGCCAACCCGAAAAAATGATGTGCTCGTGAGTATTTTGTTGACTGTAATGATTGGAATTAGTTAATTTTGAAAGCATTGAGGCCTCAAACGTATTTGTGCACCCATGAATCCGACCACCCAGATTACTCTGTTACAAGACTGGTGTTTCTCTTAACAGTAAACTAAACGATCAGATATATGAAGAAAAACTTGCATATCTACATACGAATCACAACATATCACCTCAGTAATAATATCTCCGCCCATGAAATTTTATTACGTTGGTTCTAATATCACCGAAAGCCCTAGTTCCCCCAAGATTTCAGGAACGTCTTGCCGATAAAAATTAACTGACACGAGACCTATGTTCAGAGTTTCCTACAGTTTTCCTAATTCTAACCAACCGACGTTAAAACATAGTGTACTTGACGTGTAGTTACTTAGACTAACGTTCACATTGTGACGTGATCGACAGAATGTCATCAGTATCCAAGACTATGTAAACCTGACGTTTATTACTACAGAGTTATGAATACATATGGAATTTAATCACTTTAATAATGTGAATAAAAATAAACAATGAAATTCTGATATTCTAATTATTGTATAGAAAGACAATGAATGCTTTACAATTAAGTCAGTCAGTGCAGAAGATTCAACAAATCACTAAAAACATCTTACTAAGCTACAAATATTTCCTTGATAGATACACAGATACAAGTGCTACATTTGTCACAAATAATGATCAATAGTTTTACTATTAATTCACTGAATATTCCGTTTTGAGCACTTGGAAACTAATAAGAAAGTTAATACTATTAAAATTACTGATATTTGAACAAGTAATGTTTAATATTTCATCATGCTTTATTTTCTATCTACTCTCCTATATTAAATGTAATATACTAGAGGAACGAATGAGTCAAGGTATGAACACTAAGAATATTACTCCATACGTAATGGATACTTTAGAAGGTGAAATCGGTCGAATAGTTGGATATAGTGTGAAGGTACGTTTTTAATCTGATTTAAAAAAGATAATACTCTTTGTTCCTTACTCTTTCTTCTTTACTTAAACTTTCAACCATACTACTTTTATTTACTTATTTAAAAACACAAACCTTGATACAAGGATGCACCAAATAGATATGTGCCATATAAATCATTCCATTTGTGTGAGGGCTGTGATACTGCCCGGGTTCCCAAGCCAAAGCAGGTGGTTTTTTTAGGGGGCCACACCCGGAGCCTTCGACTTAAGATTTGATCCACAAGGCAATGGAGCAACGTAAGGAGATGCAATCCCATGTTAGCCGGTGACCAACAATAGGTTCATACGCCATTTGTTCCCTCAGGATACTGTAGCCCATGTGCACCACTAGTTTCGAAACAGAATTTTCCAACCCCCCTAGGTGAACTCTCTGTGTCCATTAACCCAGTTAAAGAGTCAGAGATTAGCTTTGCATCTTCTCAATTTTGTAAAAAGCATCCATGGTGCGAGAAGGCAGTGAGTAGGACTTCCCTGACAGTGGTTGTATGCACATGGCCATTTGAGAGCATTTCGAGAGGGAGAGCTGACTCGTCCCACTCTCGGCCATACCAGGGTATTTGGAGGCAACCAAACTGCTTAATTACTAATTAACTGAATATTAAACAATCTTATGTTATACAAAAAAATAAAATTGTTCTGATATATCTGGTTCCCTGATTGGTGTATTATAACCATTTCAAGATAAATATTACAAAAACTGTGAGAAATCATTCATAAGAAATATAAATAATGGTGGTAAAGAACTCAAATTCTAAACAAACTCAAGCCTAAAGAAATTAGTTCTTTTTGTTGAAAACCGTTCTCTTTAAGAACAATAAAATGGATTAAGGACCTTGAGAAAAAACGCAGTGACCTGGACAGTATCATCATACGCTGTTAAGTTTTGCTTTCTCTCTGGAACCGGATTCCAAAATTTTGACAATCTGTTTTTATGAATTGGCTTTTATGAGCCATCCAGTTTTTATGATCATCCCAGAAGTGACTATGATGAAGACTTATTGCATTACTGATTAATGTAACGGGATATGTTCTAGTATCCAGATATCAACTTTTTAAAAATGGAATACCCTTAGAAAAAACTTACTTTACTTACTCCTATTACTCCCAATAGGGCGTAGGTCGCCGACCAGCATTCTTCTACCCACTCTGTTCTGGGCCTTCCTTTCTAGTTCTGTCCAACTTTTGTTCATTCTTCTCACTTCTGTCTCCAATTTTCGGCGTAATCTGTTCTTTGGTCTTCCTCTCTTGCTTTGACTTTGAGGATTCCAAGTGAGGGCTTGTCTTGTGATGCTGTTGGGTGCTTTCCTATCCACGTCCAGCTCTTCTTTCTGGTTTCTTCCTTCGCTGTGATCTGGGTTGTTCTCTCCCACAGTAGGGGGTTTTATATTGATGAAACATGTTTTAGTGACCCAATATCTGACTCTAGTTAAATCATTTGCTGATTGTTATCAAATTATACATCCCACCAATCCTCGTATATTTTTATCGACTTAATTCACGTTGAAGAATAATGGGATATAATAGGTCGAATGCGAGAATAAATTTTGAATACTTATATTTCATACACTAACTGATCCAGACAAACAATCGACAACAACAAGGAAGATAAGCGGAACGTAACGAAAAGAAGCATTTCGTTGAAAAGAAGCTGAAAATGAAGAGATTCGCAACGAAGTAAAACAATCTGGTTGTGACAATATTTCATTTTATATTTATGTACGATAAGTCTTTCTAATTAAACGCTACATTTAGTTCCTAAGCTCTTCTAGTAACCCTCAGGCACAATCTACACAGCGACTTGAACACAAGAAAACGCTCTACTCCAAAGGCTCGTTTATGCACAGAAAATCTAGGGTTTTATAGTATTTTAGTTATCCTTGAGTTTCGCGAAAATTCTGAAATGCTACTAAACACAGTAGCAGCATAAGTAATCACCCAATAAGAAACTCAACATGTGACTTTTCAATTTCTTGATTATTTTTTGGCAAAACTTCTAATGAACGCTTATTGTATGAGATGCTTCTCAGTGTTTTCAGAGCCCTTGTTGGCTTTTTTCAAGGAGTTTTCTAGATCTCCTAACATGTACAAAATTTGTTGCATAAAAACTAAGTTCAAAATGAAATTATAATGCGTTATCATATTTAATCATATAAAATTTAATCACATTTTAAAGACAAAATTTTATTATTATCATTATTATTATCGATTTAACTTGGATAGGGTGTTACAGATACAAACAGTTTGGCTGGTGAAGATGATAAAGAATCTGTTACAATGGTTGATCGTGATGGTGTAGAAGGACGATTGGCTGAGATTCTTTTCAATAAAGTATTTATGAGCTTTTCTTTTGAATAACAATTTTTATTATGAACTGTAACTACAGAAGAATATTTTATGAATTATTTAGGTTATGATCAATTAGCAAAGTAAAATATGAATAGAGTAGGGTGAATAATAACTTACCAAAAAAGCTGAATTCATAGACATAAGATTCTGTCAGAGAAAAAATGTTAAAAGACTGAAAGACTCATCAATAAAACATAAATTGTTTCGTACAATAAAAAAATTAACACTGTTGGATGCCGGCCAGCTCAGAGGTCTAGAGGTTAAACGCTCGCGCACGAGACTGATAGGTCCTGTATTCCAATATCGCGAGGCGGGATTGTGGGTGCACACTGCTGAGAAGTCCCACAATAGGACGAAACGGCCGTCCAATGCTTCCAGGCTTTCCATAGTGATCTAGCTTCAATTGACTCATGATCTCAACCACTGAAATTATTATAATATCCGCAAACCCCTTCTGATATAAAAAACGATGTGTTTAAATGGAAAATATTCACTATAAAAATATTCACATCTAATATTTGCATTTAAATTTAAATCTTCAAAAGATTCTGCTGCTCCAGGCCATTTGTCAGTGTATAATAATAATAGTGAGATAAGATTATGGTTGAAGGTAGTCGACAGGAAACCCTGAACCTTGATTTCGTTCTGCTTGGCACTCGTCAGCATGGTGTACCTGTAATCTTCAGGGAACCGATGCTCCCTGAATGATTTGATCTCGTGTCACCTTGCTTCACAGTCAGAGACGTTACCACTGGGCCATCCGGGCCGTGAATGGCCTCCTGTAGGACTGAGATGTATTTACAATTGGTTGATCACTGGGTGGTGATCACTATCTTGTACGTCAGGTCCTTCTTATTGCAGATCGAATCCTATCGACTAATAGTGAATTATGTGGTATATACCCTCGACCCCAGACAATTTTTATGATCGTACGATCCCTATCTAACGTCATCATTGCTAATGCCAAACAAGGTTGAAAAATCTATCAAGTGATTCCTGATTCTTATTAATTTCGCGAATGACATTGCAACATGAAGCAAAATTGTCTTCAAACCATATACAAGTAAAAATTCATTATGTATTGTTTGCTTGCATCTTTCTATTGATCTTTCGGACTGCAATTGATCAGTCTCTTATTGACATTTGTGCATCCTGTGCGGATTGCCTGGATATCGCCTTAAGGCACATTCAGCTGACAAGTACAGAATAGGACAAAACGTGCATGCTGCATTGCACTGATAGCCGCCATCCATCTATACTTAAAATAAGATAGATTTTTAAATTATTTAAATAATTTCAAAAAAGTTAATTTATCCATCACAACAAAAATTTTGAGCATATTACTCTTATACAAACGATAGATAACAAAATAATCCCGTTTATTTCACCTATCAAACAACCAGTTAAACCAAAACGCTTTTGTTGTTGATGAATTCACTAAGACAGATGGTTTAGTTTCAAAGTCCTTTTTTGTCTCCCTGAACAACAATATCACGCTTTGCTTAATATAATAGTAAATTTAAGTATAAATGAAGATAACGAAACCTCCTAAGACAACAAATCGTAATGAGGGTCAACAAAGAGGAATGATCTGACGCTCATGGAATAACTAGGAAGCTCATTGTTGGTCCTGGTTATGTTTTCTAAAACGACAAAGATACCTTAATTAAGCTATATAGCTAACAAAACTCATCAACACTAAATTATCGTGATAAGCAAGTGGGATTTTAATAATTTGAATAAATCACACTTCTTTATGTTAATGGGACTAAATAAGTGAAAAGTTCAATGAGGGAACAGAATTCCGCTTTTTACAGTCAGCTGTTAATCACTTGATATTAGACATAACATTGTTTTATCTATCTCTGGTTCAAGGACCTATGATTCATGACTTACATACATCAATGTAAGATAATATCTAAGCACTTAATAAACATAACGTTTCAGTTATTCCTTATTAACACTGAGAACTTAAATTAAAAACGAAATGGGTCCGAGTCTCAATGTAATTATTAAAGGTGGGTTGAAGGTACATTTATCAGACAAGTCCCAAATAAGACAAAACGTATGTTATCATTCCACTGCATGTCACATACCAAATATACCAAGACATGTAACATAAATCTTTATTGAAACACGTACACATGGTAACAATGACTGATTAAGTGAAGCTTTAAATATCAATTTCAAAAAATTATAAGTTCTTATTAATAAGCTCCGATTGGTAATTAATTACGGATCTGAAAATTTAGTAACGTTCTGGCAACCAAACTTACAGAGGAATTCCGAGTAGCGACTACAGTTATATCGAAAGGAAAATTGCATGTGTCGTATGCATCAATAACCAACCCTTAAGTTGGTATAAACAATATGGTTAAATAATGATTATCTAAAGAAAATTCGGCTATCGAATAAACATTAAAAGGTAGAATGACTGGACATTAAAAAAGAGTTGTTCTATTGAGCATAGTTACACTAGTCATATACACAATTTTATCAAGATTGTGTGAACCTGATTAAAAAACTAATTCAAAACATAAATAATTATAGAATTTGAACTTTGGTAGACTATGTACAATCCAATGAATTTGAAAACTGACTATATCATGCATGATCACTACTTATTTCATGCCAGTCAGTCAGCTACAACGTAGGACCAGGCACATATATGCAACGGTCCAAGTTGCCATACCTCATTAACACAGCAAGATGAATACCGGACTCATAAATGTAGTTAATTCAGTAACGGTAATATATAAAAGAAAGATTGCAATAAGGATATAGTACACGAAGGAAAAATTAGTTAGTAGAAAGAAAGATATGAAGCGATTTTAATCTCTTAGTTTAAGGGAAGACGGAGAGTGTATACACCGATGCCATTGTGATCGATTCCGAGCCATGTCACCAAGAGTCTTCAACCATTGGTTACGATAGTCACGCGGACCCCAACCAAGTAGTCTGCATCTACCAACATGGCTCAGACTAGAAGTTAGTGACTTCAAGCACTGATGACACGTTTTGGTTTGGCCGCCCCTAACTTTCTTCCAACCATCCCCTACCCCGATTAGCATTGCACGTCGTGGTAATCGGTGTTCAGGCACACTCAACACGTGGCCCAACCATCTCAGTCGATGAAGATTCACAACCTCGTCGACTGATTTACCATCATTCCCTAATATCCTGCGTCGAACCTCACTATTACTTACCTGGTGATCCCAGCAGACGCCAGCAATATTTCTAAGGCATCTGTGGTCAAATACTAGTAGCTTACGAGTATCTTCTACTCTTAATGGCCACGTTTCGCAGCCGCAAATTAAAACAGAACTGACTGCCGCGCAGTATACTCGTCCTTTTATTGATAGACGGATATCTCGCCTTCGCCAAAGGTGACGTAAGTTGGCAAAAGCCAAACGAGCTTTTCGAATCCGTGCTGAGATTTCGTCAGACACTAACCCATTAGGGCTGATCAGACTTCCAAGATAAGTTAAGTTGTCAACGCGTTCGACTACTTCAACTTATTTCATGTAGTATAATGTTACTGTCAATCTAATTCATCCAATTTATTAGTCACTCTTTATTTCATTGCATAAAATATTCACGAGGATATGTATTTTTAATGATTTGTTAATGAATTTTCTTAATCCTTTTCAGCTCTATTCCGACATTAATTCTACGAAACAAGTGAGTTACTTGTTACTAACAATAGTTGAAAATGAAATAATAATTTCCAAATAATCTTAGACATAATTCATGAATATACATTATCTACAATTGATAATGATTGAAAATATGAACATTTCTATATCAACTCAAGTAGGTCATACACTCAGTAAGAGTTAAAGTTTCTACCTTCGAACTAAATATGAGATTGTCATCTCATATTGATGAAATGTTCAATTGTCGTTTGACCAACACAAATAAAATAAAAACTTTATTAAATTTAGATGAAGTTTTGTTGTCTTAGATGGATGGTTTGTAATAATGATGTTGTTCACATGAATAATGAAAGCTTTATGAACAAACTATTTAGATTAGTGAACAAAACTCCATCTAAATCATCTACTTAAGCTACAAATCTTCTCCACTATCTCAACTTTGTTAAATATACATATATGTTCAAAATCAACTTCAATCCTTACATCACAAACGTGATTAGTAAAATTCAAAGAACATAAACACTGGAGTTCATAACACTTTTCAATCAAGATATGAAGTTTTTCAGTTTATAAGCTTTCTTTTCCTTAATGCATCATTCAGTTTATAATATGTGGATATCATCAAAGATAATCTCCATGAAATCATCTGATTCATTGTAAATATTTAACAATTTTCAAAAAGATACGCACTTGACACAACAACAACAACAATACAAAAATGCAAAAATTATTGTTGACGTTAAGGATTTGTCTAAAGGAAATTAACCACAAACCCTCCCCCTTTTCTTCGTTTACTAACCTACCCTATTAATTCTATTGATGAGGAGTCAGTTAACAAGTTACTTATTATACACAATCGGTAATGTTATTTTAACCGTGAAAATTAATCAAAAGAAAAAAATCATACCAACTCTGCAACAGAATAGTGTTTATTTAAATAGATGAGATCATGAGTCAATTAAAGCTAGACCACCATGGAAAACCTGGAAGAATTTGACGGCCACAAAACCCTTCTCTGATTATAATCATTATATGCTCACTAGTGACGGTCTCCAAGAGGTATTGCATGGAGTTCTAGTGAGAAATAATGACCATTGGAGTTCAACCGTGTCTGTTATGAGATAGTAACTCACTGATGACATTGTTGGATGTGTCTCTCAATTTCTTGAATTGGTTGAAGTTAAACATTAACACCATCGGATGCCGGCCAGCTCAGTGGTTTAGATTTTAATCGTTTGCACGTGAGACTAATAGGTCCTTGTTTCGAATCTCGTGGGGTGGGATCGTGGATGTTCACTGCTGAGGAGTTCCACAATAGGATGAAATGGCTATCCAGTGCTTTCAGGTTTTCCATGGTGATCTAGCTTCAAATGATTCATGATCTCAACTATTAAAATTACTATAATATCCACAAAATCCTTTCTGAACAATGTTAAGTCTGTGTTTATTTTTATTTTAATTCTATCCATGTCAGCTCTTTTTTATTCTATCTATAATTTTTTTATACAATTCAATTCTCTCACCCATTAATTACTGGGTTGTTTATTTTTCTTTCTTTCTTTCTTTCTTTATTTCAATTTAGGAGACTGTTAAAAAGTTTTCATTTCAAACATCTAATCCCATAGTAACTAATACAAATTTCAATAAATCATCTTTCAATTTCATGAATCAATCAAATCAAAAAGATGAACTCAATGTAACAGAAGGTTTTCCAATTCGAATGGAATATTCTTTACCATATAATGAACAATGCGGTGAGTATTAATACATAAAATGTTTTAAAAAAAATCTTAATAAACGTTCGAAACTTTTCTTAAATTCTTCTGTAAGACCACAATTAAGTGATCAAGTAAAGTATTGTTTAGCCAATACACGTCAACTGAAAACAGCACATCCTCAATGACCTATACTATGCTGCATAGCCTAAATGATGTTCAAAAGTGAAACTGATATAATGATCAACTCGAGATATGTCAAGTGAGAATTAAGTCTAATAGTCAAATGTTCATCTCATTAGAATTATGAAATTCTTTCCTTTAAAACTCCTTATCTTCTCCTGTGCTAAATATCTTATTCATAAGTATGTGATTTTATGAGAAAAAGACTTTTATCCCAAGCAGCTACATTATCTATTGTTTTCTATTCAATTTATGGCTTTCATCAATAATTCATTCTTATGATTAGACAATACTCGGCTACACTGTATCACATCATATTGTCAATCAATTGGTATTTCTTCATTCATTTCAAAAGTATATTAATGATAATTATAACACTTCAAACTTTCTATGTAATGAAAACTTGTAAGCTGATAAACACAAAAATAAGTCACCACATCTTCTATGGTAGATTTGCATAGCTTATGAGTTCTCCAAGATTAATACTTAGTTCTTAATAAGGATACAACTAAACTTAAGATTTATTTCATATAAGATTAGCTATTATTCAATGAATTACTAATGATATTATTTAATTAAGAGTATACATTGGACAAATGAAGAAAGAAATGGATCCTCATCACATTGCCTAAAGTATACATATCGTGTATCATTTTTTATTATATCACAGTAAAACAAACATTTACTTATCAATTCAAAATGAATTCAGTATTCTATAATGATTTCCAATATTAAGTTTCATGTGAAATTCTAATCAAATGTTTAGTTGTCACTGATTGAATCACTAGGACACTCTATTACTACTATGATTTTATATCAGGTTATTATTCCCTCTATATTGTTTTACTCTTTTTCATATCCCTCTTCCACCCCACCCCCCTCAAACATTTTAGAACTTCAATGGTATAAATTAAACAATAAAAATCAACGAGTCCCAGTCAAACTTGATTTTCGTATTGAACATGTTATCACTGGTGCAATTCATATGTCATTCAAACAACATCAACAATTAAATCATCAATATCCAAAACATCCATTTGTTTTGTCAAATTCAGGTTTGATTACAAATGAAACAAAACAAAAGTTGAATCAATGGAAATGTAAATTATTAGAATCTGAATCAAATACTAATGTCAATAATAATAATAATAATAGTGGTAATGAAATCATCTACCTACAACATCATCTCATCATATGGGCAAGTAAACCTGATGATGCTGGAAGATATTTTGCATCAAATCAATATCCATCGAATACAGATGGTATATCATCAACCGAAGAGAAGGAATTTATACTACAAGTAATAAGTAAGTTAATTATTTTTATTTGTACAATTTAGAAGAAAAATAAACAAACAAACACGATATTTACCTTGTAGTAAGAGTAAAATTTGTTAAGCTGCAGCAATTAGGATGACTCTCCCAGTCTCCCACATTGTAAGAGCATTCCATGTATCTAAATTAATGGTTCCTCTGATTCTCAGAAGGGGTATCAGCCTCGTGAATTCCAAAGGAACTCGGCTTTTACTATGAGGCGTCATAACTCTTCTAAATGAAAACCTTATAACTCCCAGGGCAGAGTTTAGATGGTTTGAATTAACTTTCCTGGTTAGCGTTTGTTTAGCGAGTTAGTTTTCTACGGGATTGGATCGCAAACACCATGCCCAACCCTCTCCCTTCATCCGGGCTTGGGACCGTCATTAGCCCCAGAGGGACCCCAGGAGGAGTTAAGCTAGGTAAAACAAACTCTGTTCCTTAAAGACAAAAATATTTTATTTTCAGTATCAATTCACATACATGTTGTTAGTTATATATCTAAGTTATTAATTGATAAACGATTAACTCTACAATATATATTGCCCATCAACATTACTCAAATTGATCTCAGGCAAATCTTATAACTGACTTTATTTATATGGTTCTTTTAAAGAGTGTTTGAGAAGCCTAAATAAGCCAATAAACATTCTGAATACGTTTGAACGATCATTTGCTTTATTATCGTTTTGATTTTTGTAGGCTTTAAACTTGTTAAAACCTATGGAATCTAGTAGTAAACTAGAAATTCGATATTCCAAGTATATGATATGAAGACTAGAAGTTCAGATTTATACTTTGTTAATGATAGGATAAACCGTCGACAGTTATTACGTACAAAACAACAGTACTGGAAATATTTCACTAAAGTGGACAAATTCATCTTTTTGATTCATAATGGCAATGAAAGCAGTCAGATATAGAAAAAGATTAAGAATCTCAATTTATTTCGACATCATGTATGTACTCAAGAAAATGACTAATTACTGATAGTTAACTTTATCAGTTCTTTAATTCGCCTACAACAATGGGCCTGTAAGGTGAAATAATCCATTACTCAAGGCAATGTAGTAATTATGATAACAATTGCTCTACTCAGTACCATATGTCTGATCGCATCAAAGAATTCTCAATGCAAAGTATGCAGTATCGTACTGAATTTCCCATTTTATAATCATTTAAGTAGTGGATATTCTGCTATTATTATCCAATTGTAAACATTTGTGGTCAGTCTTATTTCCATGGCACTACATTGCATGTATGTAATCTATCGTAACCATTTCTCGTTTTTAAACTCAACAGAAAAGACAGAAAATAAATAAACTAAATTAGAAGTACTTTAGGCTTTCTTAATAATCAGATTTGCGATAGGTAGTAAACACTTTATTAAGATGTACAAGGGGATGCGGCTGACAGTCATAAGTGAGTACAAATCCACAAACAGTAACACCTATGATAGTAAATGCATATTTGGGAAAATAGTGACTCAGAAGTCTGAGCTGGCAATCATGAAATACATTGAAGTATATCACTGAAAGATATTAATGAAAACACAACTCGTAAAGTGATTGTAAATGATCAGAACTTCTGTAAAACCTCTTGTGTTCCTCTTATACAATAAATTATCATTCTTTGTGAATATTCTTTACATGAATACATGTATAATCTCGACTAAGGTTAAATAACGTAGAAAATACATATATATTTAGGCTAAATGCTTTTGTTATTGTTATTTCTATGAGTTGGCTGGTTAATGACAGGAATATTGAAGCACATAGCAACAACGAACCCATACAAAAACAATCATTTACAAATCAGATTAGCGGAACTAAAGGATTTAGAACATTTGCAACAATTCTAAATTGACTCAAATCTAAGTTAGGTTGACAGTGATTTTTCTGTACAGAACGATAATAAAAGTTTCACAATTAAATCATATTGCACAGAGAAGTTAGAATCAAAAATAGCGTCTAAGAAGTCATATTGTTTGTTAAAACAATACTAGTTTATGGTGAAGTTTATTTTACTGCTTACATGCTGAATAAACTATAAATTTCATTTGATATTTCTTTATTTTAAAAAATTCAGAATCCAATCAATCATCAGGCAGTTCACAATGTTCACCAGAATTTATTGAACCTCTTATAGTACAACCAATGAGCAGTGCTACTAGTGATCCTTTTATTGAAATGACATGTATAGTGACAGGCAATCCTATACCAAGATGTTTATTATACCGAAATTCAGTACCTATCCCAGTGGTTGTAATGCCTTTTCTCAAAATCGAACCTAATGATCCACTATCTACATTGAGTTCTTTAACGCAAAAATACACTGTCACAACATCATTATTTGATTTAAACAAATCAGATCGATCAAACAGTTATACAAGAAAGATTACACTACGTGTTAATCGACCATCCAGTTCAGAAGACATAGCCACCTATAGTTGCCGTGCATGGAATTGTCATGGTCGAACTATTACATCAAGTGTTTTATCAATGCAAGGTAAACATTAACTAACCTTCTTTTTATTCATATTATAATCACATTTTTCTAAAGAATTTCTGTAATCTGACTGTAGTTTCTTTTTCATTAGGAGGAGCAACTTGAATGCTTTCTAAGGCATTCATAATCAATTGATAAAGTAGTGAAACTTCATCAGTTGAGATGGCTGAGACACGTGTTACGTATGCCCAACCACCGATTGCCTCGACGTGCTGTTTTATGGTGTAGGAGTAGGTTGAAAGAAAGCTAGGGACGGCCAAACCAAAATATGGCACAGATCCGTGAAGTTACTGACAAGTGGACTGAGTCATGTTGGTAGGTGTAGACTACCTGGTTGGGATCGGCCAGATGATAGCAACCGACGGTTAGAGACCTTGAATGACATGGCTCAAAATCGTTTTCAATGACGCGGGTGCATCCATTCTTTGTGTTCTCCCAAATTCTATTCTTCTGAGTTCTTCATGTCCGTTTTTTTCTTTATCCAAATCTATTTCACTCGATTATACTCACTGAATAACATTTTTAAACCCTAATGTTTCCTAATACTACTTATACTTTTTCTACCTCTACCACTATGGGATTTGAATGGACAATTGTATCTGTGTGATAATGTGGTATGGCTACTCGAACTGATGTACGTATGTACGAAGTTCTACGTTGCTACTGACTAGCCGAATAATTTATACTGATTACATTATTTAAGAAGGATTAATTAACTATCTTTTCTATTCTAATCAATTATAGTTGAGTAGGTTTTCTTGAAGTATTTTCCACAACTGTCAGCTTGAGAAAACATTTGATTTGATTCCAAGGAATTCAAATGATTCTAACTGAAATTTTTTGGTAACTCGATTTCTGCTTCTAATTTAGTTATAAATTGTTTATATTCTCAACGACAACAAAAACGGTCTCATCCGGAAGAACATAACTTCATAACTTCTTAAAATGAATCAAATAACTGCATATAATATGCCTCAATTCATTTATTCTACATAACAAGTGAAATGAATTTCAATTGTTTGTCAGACATTGTTAAGTAACTGAAGTATTATGTGATCCCAATAGTTTCATAACGATCAGTCATTAGATAACTTGTGTAACTCATGTAAGTTATGACCTCTATCCTACAGTATATGTATGTGTAATAGTCAAGTTGACATTGATCATAAACATTTATTTAATTACTATCTATCTATCTATCTACCTATGTTTTTCTTTAAAATCATGATTTAACTATTCATTGTTTAGATCACTTCGCTAAATTCGATTGTCCCTTAGAAAAACCGAATATGAATGACAATATCGATATGGTAAAAATTGATTCAATTCAATCAACAGTAAATACTTCTCTAAATGTTCGTGATGTAAGCTTGTGTTCTATGTAAAATACATCATCTTTCATGCAGTTACATTTTCAAATTACCTCATAATTGATCATTTATTACAGCTTAATAATAGTAGTGTAAATCAATTGTTAACTGGTCACATTATAGGTGAGAATTCTCAAAAAATATTACTCGATTTGACATACCTACAAAGGATAACGAATGTGATGGCTTTTACTGAAGTGTCATTGCAAGACAATATTCTTATGTGATTTTATTCAAAAACCATTTGATTGATGCGTAAAAACTAAATCGCAGGATTTTTTTATAACCTTGTAACCAGTTTACTGTTGTATTCTGCAGCCCGATCTCGTCATCATACCATTTCCTAGCTTTTTACCAACTTGGTATGTAAGAAATAATCAATAAAACAAAATGAGCTTTATAGCTAAAAGCCTAATTCTCATATTTGCAACTCATTTGTATAAACAGACTACTGAACCAACTCAAACATGGAGATTTGAGTGATGATGTTAACTTGATAAAGAAATCACTCAAAAAAAGCCAGCTGAAACTTATCGCTTATGTACCACGTAACTCTGGATTTACATTTGATCTGTTCGGAATTCCCCAACCTAACACTAACTTTGTAGTCGAAATAAATCAATTGTAATATATTTCTCTATTGTACTGAGCTTTAAGAGTTGAAACCCTTGGTGATATATGTATTCTTTTAAAGTCATAGATATGACTGGTTATTCATCTTCAATAAGCACGAAAATAAGAAAAAAATCAACTAATGTAGCTAATTCTCTAAAGTTACCTATGACTAAGGTAATGTTTTGACTGCATTTTCAGTCGTGATAGCTAATACAATTCTATTTGGAATAAGTCTGTTGAATCCACATACAATGACATTAGTATTTTCATCTAGACCATAACCTTGTACCCATAATTTAATAGTAATAAATATTATCTGACGAGCTACCATAAACTATGTAACCGGCCATTATGGAAACCGATAACTCCATATATACTTGCCAATTACTACGTTGTTTGACTGACTGTTTGCTGTTAAAGTTTGAATATGATCAAATCTAACAATCTTTCAATGGATAAATTGGTACTGTTTGTATTTGGTAGTGGCTAGAGTAAAGGAATTCGCTAAAAGAACAATATATAGCATCTCAATTCAAGCCTAATCAACTTACAACAAGAATAAATACCAGTAAAATTTATATTAGACTATCCTATGTAAATTATACATAATTATTAACGAATACTATGTCCTTCATGATATGTACAACAGTATGGGTGTATACAAAATAGGAACATGTATGACCTGTAGTCCTACAATCATTCAACATTAGAATTGTTTAAGTTGGTATTGTGGCTAGCAGCGAGATCCAAGATACGCATTCTGTGCTATTTGGGACTCCTCTGCTGTATGTTCCTTCATCAGCAAGTTGATCTTCACACTGAAACTCAAACCCAAAACCTATCTCTACAAAAGCCAATGAATTTTTCACCGGACCACTGAATTCAAACAAGTGATAGCTTTTCCCAGAGGGTGCAATACTTATTCGTGAGGGTTTTTTATACACTCTCTGTTAATTTATTTGACCGCATTTAATCAGTATTTATCAGAATATGTGTACCCTCAGCGGATACATAAACACCAAAGCTAGTAACAAAAAAGATAATATCGAGGCGTCTGCTCAAGATCTACATGTCTCTATAAAGAATAATCAGGATTCAGTATTAAATATCAACAACTGAATAGCGCCTACAAAAATTGCTTTAATTTCTTCTCATTGATGGACCTAAGAAAACAGACGGTTACACATCTATCTTTGGAGAAAAACCACCAACAAATGTCTGCGTTCAAAGAAATGAGAATAATATTTAACTATTTAAAAGACTAAATGAAGTCACAAGGAAACTAAGTGTTTACATTTATACTACATCACACAGACTCTTGTCTTAAAGTAATTAAATGCTAGAGTTTCAATGTTTTTATTAATCCAACTTCAAATGAAAATCATAAATGTGGTAAGATGATAGTAGGACATCGAAGACTGTGTCATCTCTGAGTAGGAAGCAAACATACTATCTTTATTCAACAAAGATTCTATATGTTTACCTAAAGATTTTCAGTAATGAAAGTTATATCGGTTTTTGATAACATAATTTTTTGTGTATCGCAAATACAAAATCCTATAAATGCATCGCCAGACACAAGAAATATCATACTTAGAACCTTATATAAACCACTGGTCAAGTGAAACAGTGATACATGCAATTAATTAACCTAAAGCCTAAAAACAAACTACTAATTACATATCTATTAAAATCCATTAAAAGATTCTAACCCACCGATTAAGTTGCACAAAAAACCTCCAAATCAAATAGTGAAATATAACTGTAAGACAGAACTCAAGTCCTCAGTTATTAAGGCGGCGATGATAAGTCAAAAGTCTAGTCAATGAAAATATATCTTTACAATTTAGAGGACACCACAAAGCTGTGTCAAAATAAACAACCTGTCCGAAAGAACAAATTTTTGTTAGTAAACAACACACATAATAACAGGGAAAAAAGGAAATATTAATACATATAAGTAGTGTAAAATAGATTTCAAAACACCTTGAAAGTACGAAAAACCGATGAATTATCTGCTTTCATTGACTTTAAATAATTTCATCAAGAAAAATTCGAATTGAAGTTAGACATTAACGCCGTTGGATCCCGGCCAGCTCATTGGTCTAGTGGTTAGACGCTCGAGCGCAAGACTGGTGAGTCCTCGATTCGAATCTCGCGAGGCGGGATCGTGGATGCGCACTGCTAAGGGTCTCATACTAAAATGAAACGGCCATCCAAAGCTTCCAGGTTTTCCATGGTGGTCTAGCTTCAATTGACTCATAAGTTCAACTATTAAAATTACTATGATATACACAAAACCCCTCTCTGATTATAATCATTATATGCTCACTAGTAACGGTCTCCAAGAGGTATTTCCTGGAGTTCTAGTGAGAAGCAATGGCCAGTGGAGTTTAACCGGATCTGTTGTGAGATGGTAACTCACTGAATACAATGGTGGATGTGTCGCTCAATTTCGTGAATTAGTTGAAATTAGACATTAACACTGTTGGATGCCGGCCAGCTCAGTGGTCTAGATGTTAATCGTCTGTGCGCGACTCAAAGGTCCTGGATTCGAGACCCGCGCGCGGGATCGTGGATGCTCACTACTGAAGAGTCTCATGCTAGGATGAAACGGCTGTACAGTACGTTCGAGTTTTCCATGATGGTCTAGCTTCAATCGACTCACGAATTCAACCATTAAATTACTATAATATCCACCAAAACCCTTTTCTGATTTTAATATGTGATATTGATCATTCAATATTGAACTACATCGTGAAATATTTCTTTGGCTGGTGCATTCTCTTTAAGTTTTTTTTTTTTGAAAATTCATTCTAACATGTGGGCTTATTGAATGCTCTTTGTGCACACAGAAATACTTGTTTAAATGATTTTTGTAGGAGACGTTTCACGTTTTTGTTTTACATTTTTAAACTTAGTATCTATTCAATGAATTTTTTTCCAGAATGGTGATGCTTTGATCAAAAAAGAAGAATTCCCTCTAATTACCGTAATAAGCGATTCACATGACAGGTATAAGATATATATCTATTAATTGACTTGAATTGTCTATCACTTAATTATCAATGATGTGACTACTTAAATATGAACCTTAACTAATATTCATTTGGTATTCACGGTTTTAATATTTGAACATTACTACTGGCAAACAATTAGTAGCCAAAATGCCTAAACACAAAACTTCACTAATAGTATTCAACTACTGAATACTTGAAAGCTCTTAACTGTAAATTTGGAAATTTTGACAATCAATTCGTCGTAATCATACAGAGATAAGAGGTTAAACTATATAAATCCCAGTCCTGTTTTTTTCAAGTATGTGAATCAGTACCTACTATGGTTTGATTGTTTCTTCTTGAATCTAAATTTAATATCCAAAGTTTCCATCAACTCATTTACTGTACGTCTCATTGAATTAGTGTAGATACAATTCCTGTTAGAGTTAAATATTTAAAGATTATTGACATTCATAAGTATGAAATATCATTATAGTAGTAGGACATGGATAAGAAGCAATTAAGAGTAAGATTATCAATTAAATAAACGTAGTAATCCCGTTGAGATGGTGGAGAAGATTTGTAGCTCAAGTGGATGATTTTGGTGGAGTTTTGTTCTCTGAGCTGTTCTCTGAGTAGTAATCCCTCACTTTACCATCAAGTTGGATTCTTATGAACTCAGTTATCAAATATTTGGTATTTGGTAAATTCCTATCGTGTATTCACTCAGTTTTGATATGCCTTTAATACAAATAATTTAGGAATACTTAAATGTAGACAGTAAACTCTATGACTAGAAACTCTATATAAGGAATGATATTTCCTCATGAAGTGTATTTCTTGAACGCTATAGAATTGACACTATTTTCTTAACCATTAGGATCTTGGTCACGGTCATAGTCTGAAAACTCAATGAGACAAGTGATTCTTGTTATTTATTGACAGGATATAAATTTATTAAGTTTATATTGCATACATAAATCGTTATCATTGAATCTTCTGTATCCACTTTTATATCATAAAAATCTTTCAATAAAGTTACTTATTGTAAAGTCTAAACATGATTTCAAGATTCAGCAAATTTCTATGTATGAAGTTCCATGAAACTACTTAACGAAGTTATTAACTTGATAACATTGGCTTAGACATATGTGAATAGATCAGCAGTAATAGTATTAACATCAACATCAAGAAAATGTCATTTTGAATCTTAAGGAGTAACTGAAATCTAAGGTGTAGTACGTTTTCTTTCAAGATTTCCGATGAAACTCAATAATGATCATTAAGATTTTTTTAAAGATATTTTAGAATTTCTATCGAATTACACTGTAAAATTGTTAATGCACAAATTGATCACTGAGTAGTAATAATTATGGTGTTTGTCAAATTCCTAAAGTTAACCCTACTCTTTTGATCAATTTCTAATGTGATCATTAAGCTAAGTAACTCAGTAAGGCAATATATCATGTTTGAATCGGTAGGTAATTGGAGATTATTCCCACGATACTACAATGCCAAGTTTCATGTTAACTGACACTCGTTAACAAAATTTATCTGCAATTTTCGAGAGAAATTATCCTCCAAGTGAAACAATAAAGAATTCTTTGCTATCGATTAACAACTCGTGTAATATCCAGTACTAAAACTTTATTTCTTGATTTCGTCTAATTATCTAACTTCTTCAATGTATTCAGATGGGATGAAAATTTCATAAATATATATCAATATTCTTTTATTTTTACTACCGGGTTTTATAAACTTATTCTGATTATCCGTTTTTACATTTGTAGTATCAGTGAATTCAAACGATTTGAACCGGTAAGTGGTTTCTATACGTTATATATATTTTAGCTGATCCCCTTCATTCATTCGTTTATGAAGAGAATTCGATTATCATTTTTACTTAGTTAACTTATATTTAAGGTGAAATAATAAATGTGTCTTTAGTATAGTTAACTTTATGTATTTCTACAATACATCGTACTTACAAATAACCATTTGATTTAGGATTGTTAAATGTCAATGACTAAGAACTCCAGATATAAGGCCAATGTTGGTTGACACTAGTTACCAAAATGTATTTAAAATCTACCCCAGAAAATGGTAGTTGTGTTTCAAAAACCTCAGCGGTAACATCTTTGAATGTGATATTGAACAAAGTGGGTTTTAATCCCTTTGAGACCACTAGTATCCTCGGGAATGAAGATATACTGTGCTAACGCAAAACTAAACAGTATTTTTCCATGTATCTAATATCGCTTAACATTAAACGTACTGTATTGTTAAATTGAATCACTCAAACTACTTCCTGATTCCACTGATTAATTATAAGTAAACAACTCAATGATAATTACTGCTGAAAGGATAGAGAATGTTAATCTTTGCTTTGAAAAGGATAAAGAAAGAAAGAAACTGGACGGAACTTCATTTTCCGGCTGAGTTATAAGAAGATGATACAAAAAATTACCATCTAGTATTGACCAGTCTGGGTAAAATGATTATCATAGCAACCTATAGAGATAAACATTAGTTATCCTGTTTGCTGCACCTATCAAAAAAATAATTAGTATTTTCATTCAACAAATTATTGATTGTTAATGTGACAGAAATACCCTAGTTGGCTAAAAAGGAATTGAAACCTATTCAATCTACAATTTATTGATCACTGAGTGGTGATAAGTGACATGTATATTAGGTCTTTCTTAGTGCATAACGAATCCTATCGATTAAGTTACAATGTGGCCATTAGTCTAGGTGACTCGAAATTGCTTGAACTATGTTGAGATAAGATGGTGGTTGAAGGTAGTCAACAGGTAACCCTGGACCCAGGTTTCGTGTTACTTGGCACTCGTCAGCAAGGTGTACCTGTAATCTTGAGGCAACTGATGCTCCCTGACGGATTCGACCCCGTGACACACATGACATTGATCACCACCCAGTGATCAATCAATTGTAAATACATCTCAGTTCTACAGGAGGTTAGTTGCCACTCGGATACCCTAGCTGTAACGTGTTTGACTGTGAAGCTGGGTGACACGGGATTAAATTTATCAGAGAATACTAGTTCCCTCAAGATTATAGACAAACTTAATCAATGTTTCTGTGGTTAATTACTCGAACATTTCTAAACAAAAAATCCCCGAAATATTGGTAAACACCCAATAGTATATTTTAAAGAAATTGTTTTTTCCAAATTCTCACTGAACAAATTAATACATCTTTGCTTGCTTTAACTAGAAATATTCAAGTTCTATCATTGAAATATCTCCTGAAAACCAATCCATCGATGTTAAGTAAGTTCACTTGTTCCATTAAGATTTCCTTTTTATTTTTATCTCTTCGTACCAACAGCCATCTTCTAGAAGACACTATCATGATTTGAGATAGTTACATGGTTACAGTGAACACTTGATTGACTACTCGATTAGCAGCGCACAGTTGGTATGAACCAAATTTGCTGTACAAGATAGGCTATGATAGAAAATTAGAAGGTTGTACTGATCACAAGAATAATTAATATATATACTTCACTTGCTTGTGTCTCAACAAAACAGGAAATCATCTTCATATCTAATGCAAATCAAACTGATATACCTCACAATCTCAATAATGTTGTTCAAAAAACTCCCTTCAGTATTCTCTAATGATTTCGTCTGAACATTACTACAAGTTTTGCTATTGAAACATGTAGCTTAAAGAATAAAACATCATTATAAGAGTTAATATCTATTTAAATATTGATTTTGTGGAACATTATCACTTGTTACTCTACACTATATTGTTATATACTCATCTTGATATCTACTATAGCTATCTAATATAACATCATCAGCTGATGACGTCGTTCAGAAGAACGATGAAAGCTCCATGACTAGACCATCCACCTTAGAGAACAAAACTCCATCAAAATCTACTCCACCATCTCAAAGTAGTTTACTTTTCACACTTCTCATAATACATTCAATGATAAACATTACAAAGCATTGGTTTTTACATTCTCTAATCGATTTTACACTATTCTAATAACTTTTATATGAAGTGAAATAAGATGTAACTCAACATGTAGTTTTACAAAATATGTATTAGTAGAAATCAAGTATCTATGGACAAAGTTTCCATTATGAACTTTATAGATTATAGCAAATTAAAAATCCCAACATGTTACTCAATTCTACCCTCAAACAAATTTCATACAATTAGTTTCCTTGACAAATTATTCAGTTTATTATGAAGAAGAACTGGAATTCTACATGTACTAAGGGATCAATCTGTTTCTGTTCTTTTTTTATTAATCAAAAGAGAAAACAACATGTTCATAGGATTAATGAGCAATAGTACTCTAGGACCTTGATATCTATGTAACAAGGCTCGAATATACAAAGTGGTTATCAATGATTTTACTAATGATTTTTTTCCAGTTAGAACTACCGAATAAGCAATAAAGGAGTTTAAATATAAAGTTTTAGATAAGAAGATAAGTCAGTTGAAGGAGATTATCAACTTAATCTAACTGATGTGCAATTAATTGTGTTGCGTAATCCAAACGATTAAGAATGATTATTCAATTGAAATCTCAATAAAATTCAATGAGACTATAGTTGTTATTCACTTATAGTATATCAGTTGTATTAATATTTCAGTTAATAACTTTCAATGAACTCACGCGATCCCTAATTAACAATTACGAATAATTTTAATAAAGAATATATTTTTTTAATAGTTGGGACCATGAGTCAATTGAAGCTAGACCATCATGGAAAACTTGGAAGCACTGGACGGCCATTTCGTCCTATTGTGGAACTCCTCAGCAGTGCGCATCCACGATCCTGCCTCTTGAGATTCAAACCAGGGCTTCCAGGTTCTTCATGGTCGTCTAGCTTCAATTGACTCATGATCTCAACTATTAAAATTACTATAATATCCATAAACCCCTTCTGATACTATGTTTTTTATTTACTGAATGAAAAACCTTGTTCTATATAAATAATTGCAATTATACATGTTTCACAATTATTTGTTTGACAGTATGAAAACCTCTACTGTGATAAAAACAGTAAGTTTTCTTTCATTAATAACCAATTATTTCTTTAACAAACCATTTATAGTGTTATCATTAAGTAAATTTTCCCATCACTTTTTACGTTGAAAATTAAAACTTATTTACTTAATTACGCCTGTTACTCCAAATGGAGCATAGGTAGCCGACCAGCATTCTCCAACCCACTCTGTCCTGGGCCCTCCTTTCTAGTTCTATCCAGTTGTTGTTCATTCTTCCCATGTGTGTCTTCGTTTCTCGGCGTAATGTTTTCTTTGGTCTTCATCTTCTCCTTTGACATTGAGGATTCTAAGTGAGGGCTTGTCTTGTGACGCAGTTGGAAGCTACTAACGTCTTAATAGGACTTAATAGTTTATTCATTTTATGACCAACTAACTCAAATCATCTCTAAAATTCGTTTAAAGTAACGAGATTAATCATATTGTCATTATAGGGTTGTGGAGACTGAATTTCAAAGAAATCATGGACCGATCAATAGTAGACCATCATTGAAAACCACGAAGCATTAGACGAATGTTTCGTTCTAGTATGGGACTACTCAACCATGCATAACCACCACCAGAAGGAATCGAACCTAAAACCTTCGGTTTCGCGCCCAAACCCTTAACCTCTTGATCACTGAGCCAACATCAAGTGGAGTTAATGTCTAAATTTAACTAATCCACGATATTGAGCGACCATCTTTCATTTTTTTGTTGGATTAGTGCCTCACACTGAACATAGATTATATCCACTGGTCATAGCTTCCCACTAGGTTTCCGAAAATTTTCTCTCGAAGTTCGTCACAAATGAGCATACGATAACTTTCAGTATGAGATTGTAGAGATTGCTGAATTTCATTCCATGTTTTCATTGATTGTCCAACTTAATGAAATTTATCATTTTTATTAAGTTCGACAAATTTCAAGTGTCAAATAACTCGTCAGCGAATTTATAATGAAGGGGACGAAATGGCTGTCCAGTGCTTCCAGGTCTTCCATGGTGGTCTAGCTTCAATTGACTCACGATCTCAACTATTAAAATTACTATAATATCCACAAAACCACTTCTGAAATTAATAATGAATTTTTTATACGCTGTTCACCCGAATTTAATCAATAATAAATCCATATTTGTGTACAGTTGAATTATCTTCAAAAACTTTATTATCATAATAGGCTCATCACAATTTAATGTTGAAATCCTTAACTTTTCACCAAGAAACATGCTAAACATTCCAAGGAATTTCGGTCAATTCAAGTCTCTATTCGGACACCTAGAATAAAACTGTCTGAAAACTTAAAGCATTTCAAACAATACGAAGTTATTGAAATTAATTTAATATGACTCCAACAATGAACAACTACTAACTTTTAAGAGATTGAGTCTTCAACGGACACAATACAGTTAGGTTAATTAAACAAACTAATTATATGGTTTCTAACTAATTCCATTTCTTGATATAGAAATGCCTTCAAATTAGACTGAGATTTTTATTTCGAAAAATTCGAATTTAATAAGAACAAGTGTACGCTCATCAATATGCTGATCGTGATATATTTTCGAGGTCTTCAATGAAATCCACACTGAACACAAAATGAAGCTCGTGCTACACAGAGTATTGATTGTCTTTAGTAAACATGGATTATCGTGGTTCTTCCACTTCACATTAGCTTTATTCATTTAAAGCTGAAATCAATTTACAATAGATTTTTAACGTTAAATAACTGATAACTTTGAAAACTAATCTAACCTTATTAGAAAAGATTACATCATAAATTGATTCAAGACTTTTATTATCAAATGAGGTTGCGTACTAATCAAGGGGTAAGGAAGAAAATGATTTATGGGTCCGATATGAAGAACAACAAACATAAAGGTCATAATAATAAACTGAATAATAATCGAGCAAACTTGTATAATTTTAATAGTTCAGATCATCAGTCAATTGAACCTAGATCACCATGGAAAACGTGGAAGCATTGGATGGCCGTTTCATCCTATTGTGGGACTCCTCAATAGTGCGCATCCACGATTCCACCCCGTGAGATTCAAACCAAGGACCCATCAGTCTCGTGTGCGAGCGCTTAACCACTAGACCAATGAGCTGGCCGGCATCCAACGGTGTTAATGTCTAACTTAAACTAATTCACGAAATTGAGTGACACATCCAACAATGTCATCAGTTAGTTACTATCTCACAACAGACACGGTTGAACTCCACTGGTCACTGCTTCTCACTAGAACTCCATGCAATACCTCTTGGAAACCGTCACTAATGAGCGTATGTTGATTAGTATCAGAAGAGGTTTTGTGGAGATTGTAGTAACTTCAATAGTTGAGATCACGAGTCAGTTGAAGCTAGACCACCATGGAAAACCTGAAAGCACTGAACGGCCCTTTCGTCCTATTGTAGGACTCCTCAATAATAATAATAACTGATTCGAGTTTAAAATTGCAAAACATATCTAACCCATAAATTATTTGCTTCCTTACCCCTTGATTACATACGTAACCTCATTTGATAATAAAAGTCTTGAATCTATTTATGATGCAATCTTTTTTTATCCTCCTATAGATATATACTTCCCATATAACTAACCTTGTTAATCTTTTTTTTTCTGTTTTACCTGAATGTTTCTCTTTGTTGTTCGTCCCATTTTATTTTATCCTAATACTTCTTATGTACATGTATATGTATGCATATATAAAAATGATTATGTTGTTATCATCCTCTTGATTGTTACAAATACTTAACGCTTGAACATTTCATATATTTATCATATTAAACACCATATTGATCTTGTTATATAACTGATCCATTGGGTGACTGATGTTCCTCATTCTCTATATCCGTCATTATTATTAATTTAGCATCGTTGCTGTACACAGTGTACAATGATATGAAAAATTATGAAATATACTTTTTTTAAGTAATCTGTGATAAATTATTCATTGTTATCATTTAAAATGTATAAAAACTGTTTATATGACGAATGATGATGATTGTAGCGGTGACCGTAAATATTCAGGTCATAGGACTAAACACAAAAGACTCCATTAGAATGAATGGCGAGACTATAATTAATGAACGAACCAATCAGGTATAAGATAACAGGTCTCGGATTTGGGAGCAAAATTCATTCATCCATTTGGATAAATAGAGTTTTGGCATTATAGCTGATGTCAGTTCGTGATGAAAACCCGAAATATAATTCCTCAGATTAATCATCGACTGTAGATTATAATTCTAATTTCTCACATAGGTTCATAACCCTCATTTGGTCCTGGTTATTAAATGAACACTCTCAAGGTCAGTCTGGAGTCGCTCAAAGGTCGTCCATAAATTATAGTCTCACCGAATGAATTTCACCAGTTGAAATATACTATTCAAAAAAGTCAAGTTAAATCAAGAGTGAAGATATATGGTGATCATATATTTGTATGACATAATGATTTAGTTGATTAGGTTGTAAAGATTCGTTTAATTTGTAAGTGGTTGTCATGATGAATGAACATTAGTTAGAATAACACTGAGAACAAGGAATCATCTTAAAAGTACTTTATATTAATATAAATTATCAATTTTAAGTTAACTGAAAGAGTTCAGCCAAGCTAAAAGTGAAATAATCACCAATTTAGTATGAGATCGGAAGCTTATTACTCTATATCATGAATATAATCCCAAAATGTAGACCGTTATGTTCCAACCCTCATTCTCTTTCTCCCCAACGATCCTGGATTCTAACTCTGGATAGATTGTGACTCAATCTGTCTAATGCTCTCTGACTTTTTCATTGATATTGATGTCCATTAATGAAGAAAACCAGTTTTAGATAATATTACTTAATCGTTATTGTAGTATGACAATTTTTCTTGTTCAAGTCACTTGACCAGTTACATCATTCAAAATATTCTCTTAATCGAGTTATAAAATCCCAGTTATACGAATTCTTAGCACCAATCGTTATTTAATGGACGAGAAATGAAACAACACTTTGTTATGTATTTTTTTGTTATCAAGTTATTGAACATCATATTGTTAGCAAAGATGGAATAGTTACCGACACCGAAACAGTATCGTATCTTATGAACAATGTTCACACAATGTGACTTAATAATAAACTATTGTATTAGTAAGAACAAATAAGATAACCACTTCAAATTTAAGAAAATAGTCAGATAAGTCACAATAAGTAGTGGAGGTCCAAAGAAACTTTAAACAGAAAGCTCTCAATACTATACTAAAGGATTTTTGAATTATTAAAATGATACGACATTAGTTATCAATGATAGCAAATTAAGCTAGTGGATTTTGCATTACACTTCTATATACAATCTATATGAATCCACGAACCATAATGATTTCATGCTTCTTTATGAATTCACTGGCACGATTTATCAGCACTCAATTATCACATTCATTCAACCTAGTTTTAAACTTAAGACAAAGTTGTTCTAATCTTTGGAAATCTCTTTCAAGAATAAATAATTTAGATGATTGCATCATTTACCGTTTGCAATAAAATAATCTCTTCAGAACTCATGCCTGTTGCGCACGTGAGAAATTATCTTGACTCAGTAGCTAAGTGGATAACGCGTTGTCGTTTGAAGTGACATATATTGGGTTCAAGTCCGTGGGTAAACATCAATTTTAGAATGCAGGTATATTCATCTGACCAGTCCCAAACAGGATGAAACGTTCATTCTGATTTTAACGGCTATTCCTTAAAAACACTGTTTATTTTTTTAGAAAATCACTTATTGTTTAGCCTTCACTAGAAAGTATGATCATTATCATGTTAATAATACTCACTTTTGATGATAGTTTTCATCATGTAATAACGTTAGTTGAAGATTCAAGAAAGCTAAACGGTACTCGGTTTCTGTTTTACTCTCGTTTGAATCTCCTCAACAGCCCATAATCCTTCCTCTGCCAAGCCCCTAAAACCATGATCCTCTGATTTTACTTCAATCATAGTACACTTAAACTAAAGAGTTGTATCCCACTTAGTTCGATAGTTCTAACGTCAGTAATGTCACAGTCTATATCGCAACAACCAAATAATCGTGTCATTCAGTGATTATCGCAAATACTAAATACAGTTAATCTCTTTTCAGTCTTCCTTTTTATACATGAAAGTGTTTTAAATAAATCATTCTCAATATTCCCTTTATTGCTATTCAGAGTAATAGAACGATATTTTTAATGCATGTAATATGAACTGAATTTTGAATTTAGTGTTGTGTACAGACAACAGAAATCTATATTGACCATACTAACTGAATGCATGGATCACACCACAAATATATGTAGCCTGGTTTTGTTTATTTTTGCCAATAGTGCATATTTATCTCGTAATTTCTTCTCTCGTTTTTTTTCTTTTCTTTCCGTTAGACTATTCATAAAGAAAATGAAACAACTGAATCATCTAATAGAAATATTTCAGAAATACTAATGAAAAAATCATACGACAATGACACCACAGTAAGTGCAAACGATGAACATTCACCTCTAATTTTTTCTTTATGATTGTATGTTACTTAAAATAGTATTTGAGTAGTTTCAAGAACTCAATCAAATAAACCGTTTTTAATCTTCGAGCAAAATGACCATTGTCAATCTACCACATTAAATAAATGAAAAACCTCAAAATAACAGATTATATTTATTTAGTTATAATAATTCCATTGGTTTTGCAACTCAGTTTTTAGGAAATAATTTTGGATTTTTATTTACAATTAGGGCACTTTCTATTCATTTATATCCTGTCCTGTGTTAGATTGTGTGCCATGAAATTTTCCCCAGTGAATATTGATTGTCATTTGTTATCAGCAGTCATTCGTTGTACGAAAAATGTGATATGATCTCGAGGTTTACTGGTCGAAAATTACAGTATGGCTTATTGATTATAAATCGTTAGTTAATGATGGCACATGTTGACAACATGGTATCAAGGTATGATATTGTTCAGTTGAATGAATCATACATCTCTTGACTTATTATTGATAACGACTGTTCTTCATCACATCATCAAACACTCAACACTGATGTCTCTCTATATATGTACTATAAGGATTTATGGTAAGTGAATGTACAAATTTGTTACACTCATTTAACCATAGTGTTTTGACTTTGACTAGGAAAAAATGTAAAAACCTAATAGAAAGGTGTATAAAACTTATTTGTGAAACATTACACTAAAATAAACTTCATTTTCATGATGAATGTGTAGGTTCGTATGATTGATGAAATCAATAGTATATATTTTAACTTCTTTAATAAAAAATGAAAATCTAGTTATTGTAATGCTATTTTAAGTAGGAGTTGAGGTGGCTGCGAAAAATAACAATGGAAACTATGAAGCCAAAATATTGGAACCATTTATGTGGATCGAAACAAAGCTTTTGCATTGTTATCTCGATACATTTAGATACTTTAGAAGTAGTCTATACAATCATAGTTATAATCACTATAACACAACATGGACAACTATTTCAAATATAGAGAGTTTTAATCAATCCTACGATTAGACTTACTTACTTACTCCTGTTACTCCTTGTGGAGAAGCATAGGCTACCCGTCAGCACTTTCCATACAACCCTGTCCTGGGCAATCCTTTCCAGTTCTTTCCAGTTGTTATTCATCCTTTTCATATCTGCTTCTATTTCTCGACGTAATGTGTTCTTTGGCCTTCCTCTTTTCCCCTTCCTTCACGATTCCAAGTTAGGGCTTGTCTCGTGATGCAGTTTGATGATTTGCGTAATGTATGTCCTATCCATTTCCATCACCTTTTCTTAATTTCTTCTTCATTTAGAAGCTGGTTTGTTCTCTCCCACAATAGACTGTTGCTGATGGTATCCAGTCAACAAACACTGAGTATCTTGTGTAGACAACTGTTTATAAATACTTGAGCATTTTTGATGATATTTGTGGTGGTTCTGCAAGTTTCAGCTCCGTACAGTAGAACTGTCTTAACGTTTGTATTAAAGATTGTGACTTTGATGTTGGTTGACAGTCGATTCGAGTTCTATATGTCCTTCAATTATAAGAATGGGGCCCTTGCTTTGTCAATACTCACCTTTACGTCTGCATCGGATCCTCCTTGTTCATCGATGATGCTTCCCAGATACATGAAAGATTCAACATCAAGAGTTTCGCCATCATGTGCTATCGGGTTGGTGTTTTCCGTGTTGTATTTAAGGATCTTTCCTTTTCCCTTGTGTATGTTGAGACCTACTACTGAAGAGGTAGAGGCTTATGCTATACTGTTTGTCTTAACATGCATTTGTTGATGTGTATGGGATAGAAGGACCAGGTCATCCGTGAAGTCTAAATCATTTCGTTGCATCCAACCTGTCCATTTTATTCCGTGCTTTCCCTCAGATGTCAAGGTCTTCATAATCCAGTCAACCACTGGGAGAGAGGGGGGAGAGTAGACAACCTTTTCTGACTCCGGTCCTTAGTTGGAATGCATCTGTCAGCTGTCCTCCATGCACCACTTTGCATTGTAGTCCGTCGTATGAATTCCGGATGATGTTGCCGATGTTCCCAAGTACACCATAGGGTCGAAGAAGTTTACATAATGTTCTCTTATCTACACAGTCAAACGCCTTCTCATAATCAACGAAGTTAATGTGAAGTGACTAGTTCCACTAAACTGATTGTTCACCAATGATCCGTAGTGTCGCAATTTGATCTGTGCACGACCAATACTCACGGAATCCAGCCTGTTGATCTCAAAGTTGGGTGTCTACTGCGTCTTTCAACCGGTTCAGTGACACTGTTGACAGTAGTGTGATGCCTCTATAGCTCAGTTCTCACATTTGCTCAGATCTCTTCCCTTTGGTAACTTGATGAGGTGTCCTTCCTTCCAGTCCGTTGGCACTCGTCCCTCCTCCCAAATCTTCTTGAATAGAAGGTGAAGTATCTTGGCAGTTACTTCAGTGTATGACCAATGCTTCAGTTGCTGTATCGTCAGGTCCTGCTGCTTTCCCACTCTTCATTTGTCTGATGGCCATCGTGATTTTTTCGATCGTTGGTGGAGTGACATCTACTGGAAGGTCTTTGTGTGCTGCTTCGATGTCGGGTGGGTTCAATGGAGCTGGTTTATTCAAGAGTTCTTCAAAATACTTTACCCCTCTTCTCCTCTGTTCTTGAATTTCAGTGATTGACCTGCCTTCTTTGTCCTTGACCCGTCCTACGATTAGAACAAGCAATTAATCATTACTTTTTAATTTCTTTATAGACTTTTCTAAATATCATAACTTTAGCTAAGTATTTCGAGGGATTTGGCAGAGTTTTAAAACTACATTTTATGTTATTCTATATAGCATAATCTGAACTTCAGTTCATAGATCCAAAACATTTTTGATGATGATGATGATGACGTAATATGGGTTAATTACTTCTAGTTCTTTTAATCGAGGTTAATTTCTGATCAATCCATATCAGCTACCACAGTTTAACTGTTTACCCTTTTTAAATATTTCATATATTTTATTTTTCAGTCAAATATTTCTTCTGATATTGATACCAAAAATTACAATACTGTTAATATTCCTTCATCGAAACGACAAATTATCAAAATATCAGAAGTTACTTCGTTACATGAAGAAATTAATATGATTAAACACAATTCAGAAGATAATACCACACAATCTAATTATAATCAATCTAGGCGAAGAATATCACTACAATCACCTGGACCAACAATTTTTATTGATCGACGACATAGTAAAGGAAATCGTAGAAGCAGTACATCTTCAAATATTACTGAACTTTAATAAATAATCAATAGATTGTGTATTACATAACATTAATAAGCATCTATAATATTGATTTTTTATAATCATAATCATATGTATTATTATGTATGAAAATGTTTTTTTTTCTATCTTTAACACGATATACTACTGAATTACTTGTAATGTGATCAACTTAGATTCAATTTGTTTTATAAGATGATTTTTCATGATTATTATTATTATTATTTTGACGGAATCGATATTTCGTGTTTGTTTATTGATTTGTTTGTTTTTCCTAATTATCTATCTTTTCAGTTCATCAATACTTTCTTTATGAGTACTAGTACTAAGGTTAATGTATAAAAAAAACATACTATAAATGTTAAAAGGAAAAATTGTTGAAGCATTCGATGAATAATTGTTTTCTTAGAGCAAAGGGGGGAAGGCTTTGAAAGACTTAGATTCCTAACGATTATGAAATTTCGTATATTCAGGTAATATTGAAGCACTTGTTCATAGTACACATGTACCAATAGAGATTGATTAAAATCTAGGGAGAAATCTCGACAATAAGAAAACACAGACTTATCAAATTATAATTCTCACATCCAATGAACTAAATAGTGATCACCATAAACTCTCTGAGTGGATATTACATCAGGATCTGAAATGATAAGTGCTGAGGTCTAGGTTAATTTAGTAGATGAGTCTCAAATCAAACAAAATGGGCATCCTGGATTTCATTGTCTTAACACATCCTACAAGATAATCACTTAAATCCTAAAATATTTTAAATGACAACAAGGACTTTTCAATCAAACTATCAAGTTCGTGTAAAGGGATTCTATCGAAAGTATGTGCCCTTAAGAAGTTTTAAAATAACAGAAATATAAATTCTCATTTATTTTAAGCGATTAACTTGAGCAAAAATGGATAGTGGCTAGCAGTGGAATCCAGGACGCGCGTTTCGTCCTATTTGGGACTCGTCAGCCGGATGCACCTGCATCTCAGAGTTGATGCTCACTCTGGGTTTCGAATGCAGTACCGTTTGCTTCAAACGCTATCGCGTTATCCGCCTCACTACTGAATACTGATAGCCACTAGCCTGTGCAATGATGTGAAATTTAAATTCACTTGGTATTGTTTACTTAAATCTTCCCATTGATGTTTAGGACTGATTATAATTAAGTCCATTTTGCGAAATTTTTGTTAAATTAAAGAAAATTAATATGAAACAACAGTATTTTGACCAAATCGGATGCGGAACTCTTTAGAACATTAAGTGATTGAAATTAAAACTGTAAACTTATAGTATTCATTATAAGTACCACATAATTGGGAATTTAAAAGATCGATTCTGGAATAGATCAATAGTAAACAACTAGACAATGATGTTTGCTGTCATTAATTATTCATGTAATGCAGTTTCGTGATAAATTTAATCCTTAAATAATACAAAACATTCATAAAAAACTATTCTGTATTGTCATTAACTTAGAAATCTTCGAATAAACCGAGAACAGACGTATTCTTGTAAATTCCGAATCCATTTTTTGTGTGTATATATGTGTCGATATTCAGTGATCAAATGTGAAATCTATACAGAAAATGTACAACAATATAACGTTCACAATGATCTTAATTATGATGACTTAATTTCATTCGTAACCAACTGTAAGTTAAACTAATTTAACTGATCTATCAAGGTTAGTATGAAAAATAATTTTCGATTACAATGGTGTACTACTTATTGATAGTTAAACGTTCTATTAGAAATGCTTTTCCACTTTTATTCCTATCTAATTCAAACTATCGTTACCAAATTATCTGACTTTCCCCCTCCCCCACCTTACAATGTAGACTTGAAAACTAAATAACATTTCAAAGTTTTGTTAGAATTTAAAAGACCCCGTTAATACAAACGTATTTGGATTCAGCAGCTACAAATTTTCAGACGATCCTATCATCATTTAGTCAGACAGTTAGAATCTGACACTTAATAGTGTAACCATTTCTGCTTGATTTAAACCTTCTCCAGCTTATAGAAATATTTATAAATCATCCAAGACCAACACTCATCTAACATAATCTATAATTGCATTTAGAAATCTTCATGTACTAGGGATAGTAAGTATATATGAAGGATGCAAAACCGTCTTAAAAATCTTTCGAATATATTACTCTAAACTTATTTCTGAAAGGAAGAAAAGTTTAAGCAAGCACAGTTTTCATGTATCCAGAGGTATTTGACACAATGTGAGTACTTCTAAAATGTTTAAAATAGTCAACAAAGAACAAACATTTACTTTACTCCGCATTGTTGTTGCTATCATAATCAAATGCTTTAGACCTAGTCTATATGCACAAAAGAAAAATGTGATAAGCCTATCATTTAAATGATTAATAGATTTGTAATCAAATAACTTTATCCGTTGAATGATCTTTCTGATAACCATCCATTAATTTAATTTTTATTTATATCAATTTATTATTTAATCACCTATTAATTCTGTGGTGTGTACTACTGAAGTCGACAGATATAAGTAGTATGTATCATCAATCAGAAGCGAAATGCCTGGCAGCACGAGAACGAGAACAAAGAATGATTGCTATGAAACCAAAGAAACAATGAAGTCTGAGACGAGTGTTTGACATTTTACAAATGAAGTATTTATTGTATGGTTCTCAGATTTTATTGAGATGCTCTGTAATGTCGTGTCAAATACTTTCGATCATCCCCACTCGTGTTCTTGTTCACTGCAATGGCAATCATTAGTAATAATGCTACTAGTTAAAATATGCTCATTACACTCTTATATCAATCAATCAATCTATAATTAATGACAGATTACATAGAGAAAAGCGTAAATGGGTTACATCTTACTTAGAATAAATGTGTGCTATAAATTAATTGAATTACAATAACAATAACAATCTTGTCTAAAAGTTTTTCAAGTCCATCGAACAAATTATTCACACACCTTTTTTCATTGTAATAATATAAAACAATTGAATGAAGAAGAAGAAGAAGAAACATACGCACACACACACACAAAATGAGTAAATGGGTTCAATAATAATTAAGTCAAGACACTTCATAAGTCCAATGTTAATTGTCGAAATGAATCTATCCGACAAATTAATTATTTATGAATAAGTACTTAATGACAAAAGTTAATGATTAAAGTTTATTTTGTAACTAGTCGACATAATTTTCTAATCTCTCTCTCTCTCTCTCTCTCTCTCTCTATATATATATATATATATATATATATATATATATAAATCAATACTTTGCCCACTTGGCAACAGATATTGGAAAGGAAATCTCCTTATTTCGTCAAACTATTGATCTTCAACTAATTCATGTATGCATCATTTAAAGCCACATTGTCCAACGGTATTTCAGTCATTTGACTGATTTGTAGGCAGATATAAATACTATAAACATCTTTGCTTATAATGCTTGTAAATTCAGGCAATATCAAGGCGATACGCACAAGATGCATATATGCCAATAGGGAGACTGATCAGTTGCAGTCTTAAACATCAATGGAAAGATTCAAGTAAATAATACCAAGTGAATTTAGATATTAATACTGTTAACTATGATCGTATGACAGATATTGTATGAGATAATAACGTGAGAAATTAGAAATAATGATAACTAGTACAAACTTTGCGTAACCTACAAAACCTAATGCAATTAAAGTGACCTTACTTCATCATATTAAAATTTTTATTCATTTATAACGTTTCTTGATCCAAACAAGAATATGTACGTGCCGATGGTGAGTAACAGCTCACCACCAACTTACATCTCTCACAAGCTATATAGCTTTAAGATATCAAGGGATGTATTGACCTTGAAAGAGCGATTTGATTTTTGGATTAATCTGTAGGCGAACATATCAACAATAGGGACTAGAATAAGTTATTATATGAGGAGTTCCATTTTTGTGTTATGACTAGGGAAAATCTGTATGAATCACTTTTCAGTACGCGATCTGTAGCTTAACTTATTTGATGGTATGTGCATCCTAGTGATCACTGATTAGAAATCTTCATGATTGATGCCCTGTCTAAATAAAGGTTTTTAATTAGTTCTTTTGTAGTGTCTTGGATGCTAATTAGCTAAAAGATCTAAAACGACAAAAAAATCCATTATTCAATTCTTCTTAACATTTAATAATTCTTTATTTAATACCAGTCCGTGACTAAAACCATCTTCGAAAGTTCAGATAAATTTTAAATTGAATTCAACTGTTTGATATTAATCAATCGCTGGTAAGCTTACATCTAACTTTTTTGAAAAAAAAAGCCTCTATGCCATGTCGGAAAAGAAGAGAACAATAGAAAAATGAACAGATCAATAACTAAGCACTTAGTATAAGACTGAATTTCATAATGAAAACAGTTAATCATAGTTAGCAACAAAAAAGACAATCTAATCACTATTATTCAATACTGACTGACAGGGTACGATTTCCAGTATTTTACATAAATCCTGTAGAAGAAAATACTTTGTTCCAGTTTTTGAGTACACTTGAACATGTGTATGATCCATACCAATCCATACCAATCTTCTAAAATTACCAAAATTCATACAATCATTAAGTTAATAACCCATAAGTTAATTAATCTTTTTGTCAAGGCCTATTTTATTTCATTACAATTAACCTTTAAATAATTATCGTTTCCTTCTTCTTCTTCTTCTTCTTCTTCTTTTAATTTTGCTGTTATTTTGATTTGTTGTTTAATTGAATATTGAATATAATTAAATGTTATTAATAATATAATTCTCATAGAAACTTAATTACTAACCCAATCATTCTCTTTTTTGGCATCTTTGATTCTCTTTTAAAACAGTAGAGAAAGTGGAATTCATTCAATTCGAATATAATATTGCACGCACACACACGCACACGCACACACGCACACACACATACATCCATACATGTATACATTTCACAAATGAATAAATATTAATATGTAATCACTATGTAAATCTTACACAAATAAATGGATGTACAAAGATTAAAATAATTGAAGGTAGAACATAGATCAACTAATCAACTGCTTATAATCAAGAATCATTTAGTCTTATTGTTAGTTAGTTAGTTAGTTAGTCAGTTAGTTCGGTAATTGTTAAAGCTTAATTAGTATTATTCGGATTGCTCAAACTTTACTAAGCTGAAAATAGAGAGGAATTGAATTCCCTGAGGCTATATATATATATATACAGAGAGAGAGATTTGAGACTTTCTGTTGAACCATGTACAATATGAGCAAACAGATTTGTTCATGATTGTTTGTTATTGTCATCATTTTGCTTCAAAGAGTTCTTTCGATTTGTCCTTATTTTGTTCTTTTCTGAAAGAATTGCAACTAATTGTAGAAGTATACCATATCAAT